GAATCAATACTCCTGACCGTTCTGGATTGAATGATTCCGTACAGTCTATCTCGTCGTGTGTTTGTAGATCTTTTGCTGAAAAAATCCTCACTAATTTACTTTGTGGTACATGTTCAAGAGGTAGCAAACACGTATGTGACTTTCTGGAACTTCAACTAGCGTTTCCTAATATGACTAATAATCAATCCGTACAAAGCTTATTGATAAATTATCTGAAAATAGAACTTTTAACGGTTGATGATCAACTGTATTACCAAATATGCGTCAAACTAACTGACTATAATAAGACAACGAGTATAGCTGAGGCACTTGTTAATCTAATAATAACACTAATGATCTTCAATCATGACTCTACCTCTGACGGAAGCACCAAACTTTTACGAAGGTACGAAATAGATGAATAGGTACTTCAATCTAGCAGAATTGAATTGGTCATTATTACGTATTGCCAAAGACGAAATGAACTGGTTTAAGTTTGATGATAGTGGTGTCATTAGATATTCTGGCAAAATCTTGAATTTATTGGAGCCTTTTCAGACACCCTACATTTTATTCGATGAAAGAGAAAATTTTGCCAGATCAAGATTTTCAGGTGATGTGTGCTGCAGGTTTTTTCGGGTTTTCCTACAGCTGGAAAAGCAAATGCGAAACTGAAATGAATCAAGTCGCCCCGGAGCACTAATTAATTTTTCATAAAAAAATATTGAACGACAAGCTTTAATGAAATTGGACCTACCCCCACATCGATATCAAGAAGAATGATGTCTAGATAAGTGTATCCTTTTTTCATTGGAAGCTCTTGGCGCCTACCGAGCAAAGTCTAGATTGGTAGCAAATTGCCAAAAACAACTTTTCTCGATAGGAAGACTTAATAGACTGTCTCTGGTCTGGATTCGTGGCCATACTGGCCTGGAAGGCAATAAGGCTGCCGACTCCCATGCAAAGGAAGGTAATGCAAGCAGCTTCATCGGACAAGAACCTGTCATTGGCATCGCTTTATGCTTTGCCAAACAAAGATTGAACACCTGGATGGCAAGAAGATTTATGGACTTCTGGCAGAATCTTCCAGGATTGGCTCACTCCAAGGCGTTTATTCACCCTTCAAAGTTTGATACCAAACAGTTGCTGGACTACAGTAGGGATGAACTACGATGTCTAACAGGCCACTGTCATTTGAATCATCATATGCAGAGACTTGGACTGTCGGAAGACAGTGTGTGTCGCTTCTGTTTAGAAAATGATGAAACAGCAGAGCACATATTTTCTGCCTGCCCCGCTGGGGACTGAATCAGGTTTTTGGAGATCGGCAGAGCCGTACTCTTACCATCTAACCTGAAAGACCACTCACCATACAAATTAATCTACTTCGTTAAGAAGTTGGGTTTATTTGGTCGAGTGTGAATAGGTGTGAGCCACAAAAAACCCTTGAGAGTTGCGGTGGAGAGTCGAATAAACCCACTCACTTTGGACGTAACCTAACCTAACCTAAGTATCCTTCTCAAACGGATATTGTCCATCTGGAAAATTCATTGAGTATCGAAGCCATTCATAACTTATTCGAAAATTTATTGTATAAATAATCCCTGGCTATTCTGAAACTACGTGGGCCACATCCATCCCGTTGTTTGGTTTACAAATTGAAGATAACACAGTTTGAGGATGTGGTTTTATAAAGTCATTGATTAAATCCATATCATTACGTATTTTCCATCAGAACTAGATAAAGAATCGCAATCTCATTACGAAAGAGATTCAGATCGATATTAGTTCTTTTCGATACATTACATTAGCTTCTATCGCTACTTTACAATTCATTTTTCTGGAAATTAATAATTCACTTGAAACAGTTTTGTTATTACCAGTCTACTTCGGATTTCTGTTTATGACATTTTACTGTTTTTTTTTTCAAGAATTCAATTTTCGTTAATTTTCAGCGGTTTCTTTTTCATTATTGACTGGCCTTCATCCCTGGTTCACACGCCAAATACATAATTGACTTTGTAGATAAATTTGTGATACCTTAGTTTACATTATTACAATTTTCAGAATCACCAATGATTTTGAACATAAAATACAGCCCATGTTACTCGCAGATAATGTAGCTTTTTATATGTGACACATTGTTTGAAATTGGTCTAGTAGTTTTTAATTTTTTTTAAACAAAACACAAGCACTACAAAAAAATCTCGAAAGGCGCTCTTAAGCGGTGCCTGTGCGAAATTAGCGATTCACATTGGATTTGAATCGCTGGAGATTGAACGTATTTGGAAAAATGTTCTCAGGACGAAATAAACAAATGTTTTCCCATCATAATATAAGTTTACATTCAAAAATATATTTCACAGATCTCTGAACATTTTCTGAATTATAGCTTATTCTAATTCCTTCCCAATTCAATCTGAGATAACTAATTCATAAATAACTAAAAATATATCACCACCGTATAATTCGAAATTCGAATATTCATGCATAATGAACTTTTTACTGAGTATGTGAATATTTTCTGCAAATACATTCTTAATATTAATTACGACACTGGTAATAAAAAGATAAGTAAACATATTCATATTCAGACACGAACACTGAATCATTCAACAAAAAGGAACACCTAAATGATTATAGGATCAAATCATAATCGATTTCGAAAAAGATCACCATTCATACATATTAAATTCTGTAAACAGGAATACTGGTTCCTTGAATGTGCATTAACATGTTTTGCAATCTTTTGTCGATGAGATCATAGATATATGTATTGGGGCATTTTTTAATTCATCTGGGTTATTTATGATCTTTTGATGTTATATTTCTTAAATCTCTGTGTTGTTCATTGAATCCTGTTCCTTGGCAGGTAATAATATTTTGTACTTATCACATTGTTATTGAATGATAGCAATTTCCCCCCCCCCAACCACGAAAGTTTCGAATGCAATTTTCAAAGATTCATTCCAGATTTCAGAAAATAGAAAATATCTCAGTTCTGAAATATATAAGCAAAATTAATAATGAAAAGGGAATCCGATGTCAACGAAACACATCAATCTGCTTCGACAAACATCGAAAAACTGGTTGTTTTCAGCCGATGCCAGATTTTCCATGTTTCTAGAACTCCTACAACTCCTCAAATCGAATTCTAGAAGTAGTTCCAGAACGTCCAGTCGAGATCTTAAATTACCAAGGAGGTTTGCAGGCTTCGAGATGGGTTCAAGTAGATGATAATTTCACATTTTGATCTGTCTTAACGACAATTTTGTTGTGTCCACTTCGGATAAGTATAGCACGCGCCAAAAGTCTGTGCTTTAAAAAAATTGCGTTTGAATCGAAATTGAAACGAAAAGTTTTGTGTGGTCAAGCGAGCAAAGTGATTGCTAATGTACTTTTTTCATGCAACGAAAAGCTGATAATGGCATAAGCATGGACCTGAAGAAAGTTCAAGAGCCTTGCGCAAAAGCGGCGGGTGTAAATTTGGGTGGCATTAAAAGAATAGCTCGTGAAATGGAAACAATTGAAAATGGTGAGTCATCCTGTTTTTCAAAGCCTAATAAAAAAGACATAGAAATGCATCGAAATCAAATTTTGATGATTCGACAAGGGTCTTCTTCGTCGATACATAATCAATTATTACATTACTGAGAAAAAAATTCCCACCTTACCCCTCATACATAAAAAATTCGTTGACGAAAATGGTTACAAGGGATTATATCAGTCTATGAGGAAAGTGATAAAAAAAATAGGGTCCAGATGGAGAAAAACGAAAAAAATAGAAAGTTGCCCATGAAAAAACCGGCGATTCAGCAGTTGGGAAGAAATGTTCTCAGAGACGTGAAGAAATACCGTGAACAAGGTCGAACAATAATCTATATGGATAAAACATATATCCATGCTTCACATACATATGAGAAGAGTTGAAATAATGATTTGAATGAAAGGTTGTTCGCACCAATTTTAAAAGGCAGAGACTAATAATTGTGAATGCAGGAGGAGGAAATAGATTTTTGAAAAATGTATATCTAAAATTCAAATCCAATACAAAATCGGGCTAAATGAATCACGAAATTTATAAAAAGTGGTTTCGATTATAGCTAATGCCCCATACCACAATGTTCAGTATGAAAGGTGCCCAAACATGTCCTCCAGGAAAGATAAGATGAGAGAATGGTTGAGACGACGGAACAATCATTTCTCGGATGATATGCTGAAAATTGATCTCTATTCCATTATTAAAATCCATAAACCACGATCCAAGTTCTATTAAATTGATAGGCTTATGGAAAATCATGGACATACTGTACTCATACCGACTCCTCATCATCCAGATTTGAACCCAATTGAATTAGTATTGGCATCACTGGAACAATATATGACTGATGAAAATGTGAATTTCAATTTCAAATCCATTGAAAGTTTATGTGACGAATTTTTTACTTTGTTTTCTCAAGAGCAGTGAAAAAAAAACGTTGTGAACACACTACACGTTTTGAAGAGATTAATGCTTGTAGATATGTATTAGGGGCATATCTACTTTAAGAAGGGATATTTCAAAATCTGTCATCATGCCTATCATAGATGAAGAGACATGTGTCTAATCAATCAATTTTGGATACTTACATCATTTTTGTTTTTTTTTGATTGATTGTATTCAGATAAATATCGTTTTTCATGTTTCAACTAGAATTCATATTCATTTGTATGTTCTCTCTGCCCTGAAAATTCAAAAACATTTTGACATAAATCGAATACGAAAGGCAAATTACCAAATTTGGCCAGAAATTTTATTACGTTTGGATGAAATTCCACTAAGGTGAAAAGTCGTTGTTTAATGTTTTGAAAACAGTACCTACTGCTCTTAGGAAAATTGATTTTCATTCACGGGATGTAAAATACAATATGTATAGCTTGTCAAGTCTAGGAAGCGACTTTGAATACGAATATATTACAGGTCAATCATTTCCTCATTGAATTGAATCAGATGCAATTTCATCTGAATCAAAAAATGTTTTCAGGTTATCTGTCAAAGTCAATAGAAATACGTCATTTTTCTGTAAAAATTCCTAGAAACATTTCAGTAATGGAATCTTCCCCTAAGCCCACAGTTACGTTCGACAGTAACGATCAAATTTTCAACACAGACTCTACAGAAGATCTGGAGAATTACGATGAGGACATTACCCAAACAGAAACTCGCACTTTGAATCTATCGAAAACCTCCAGCGTCGTAAGGTCAGATGGAGGAGATATGAACAGTATATCATCAATCAGTACCAGCATCTTGGACGATGTGGAAGAAGTGAGGTTACTTAAAAGAAGAGTGGCTGAGGCAGAGGAAAAATGTAAGTTGTTAGAGTTTGAAGTGGAGCGGAGCAACTGCTGGTGAGTACATGTTACTTTCGACCAATCTGGGACATTCAAAATATCATTTTGGCTCATAGAACACAAATCCTTGCTCGATAGTGTATATAGGGTCTTTCTTTTATCGCTTCCTATCTTTAAATTTGAATTTGTGTGTGGCACAAAGCAGCGTTCTGTTAGAACCACATGACATATCATCCAATTCCAACCAAAAGAAGTTGGTATAGTCGAAGTAAACTATATTGTGCACTCTTAAAGTTAACGGCACTCTCAAAGGCCAAAAAAACCAATACATAGAAATAAACCGGCCGCGAAATAGTCCACGTGGACTGTAGAATTGGCGGTTCGTATTGGATAATTTGTACTAACCGACTTCAATGATTGGCTGGAGAGTTACAAAATTGAATTTTAAGTCATGTCACGGTGACGAATAGAAATCGGGGAATGCGGGGATGGTTATTGCCGTCGTGTTCAGTTCAGGAACTGATCGCGATTTGAGAGTTAAAATTCGATATTGGTGCAGTTATAATTACTTGGCCGGATGGTAGCCGGTTGGTAATAACGAGTGTGATAAAGACGCAGACTTCTACCAGTGTAGTGATTTCAATAGCGATGGTGAAGAATACGAAAAAGAGATACCAGTGAATGAGATTCGATTGCATTTGAATATTGAAATACAGAGAATATGTTTCAATGTATATAAGAATCTACATCTCAAGTTTGGTTTCGAGGAAAACAAACTATTACAAACAACATCGGATTTGATCAAAATTTCTTTCTCAACTGTACGTAAAATAGTCAAAAACAAACCTCATGAACGCAAGACGCGATGTGATACATGATTACCAGAACCTTCAGATGTTCATCTGATAAAACTATTGAAAAAAACAATATACGACTGTTACAAAAGCAACTGAAATCATAAAGTAGAAATTGAATACTTCCGGCCATAACGTGAGTTTCTATGACAAAACTCTTCAGAACTGGATGAAGAAAGTAAGATTTAGATTTGAAATGATAAACAATCGTCAAGCAGTTATGGAAAGCAGAAGAATAGTGAAATTGTGTAACAAATACCTAGAACAAATAACTAAATATAGACAAGAACAACGGCAAATTTTCTATTTGGACGAAACTTGGTTATACACTCACTACACGGTTACGAAATGGTGGACTGATGTTTCGAGAATGTGTACGTCTAACATGTCTGCAAACGAAGGATCGCGACTAATCATTGTGCATTGCGGAGGAAGTAAAGGATGGGTTCCGAATTCTTTGAAATTATTTGGAAAAAAACTTGAGGACTGCAATGTTGATTATCATAAGAACATGGAAGCTGATATTTTCGAGGAATGGTTTGAAAACACATTGATCCCAAAGGATGCGAATAGTGTAATAGTTCTTTGCGACAGCTCATCAAAGTACCGAATAAATATTCAAGAAGAGATGAAATACAAAGTTTTTTAATGGATAACAATTTGTATTTTGAAGACAACTATACCAAAATCCAACTACTTGAAGTTTTACAAACAAAAACATTTTAAAAAGTGTATGCCCTTGAGAGTATTTTTGAAAAGTATGGACACACCGTACTGAGACTTCGCCTCTATTTTTGTGTTTTCAATCCCATCGAGTTGATTTGGGGAAAATTGAAACAAAGCATCAGGCGTGAAAATAATTTTCCAAAATTTGATAAGAAGGTAGTAGAGCTAATTAAAGAAGTATCTAATATTATTGAAGAATACTGGCAGAAAAGGAATAAAAAAGTAATTTTTGTTGAAGAAGGCTATATGGAGATTGGACACTTCCATATTAATGGTGGAAATAAATTCATTATTGATTTAAATGACGACAGTGATAGTGTCNATGAAAATTAGGATCAGTTGCCAACTGCTTCAGAGCCCACTAGCGAACACATGTCATTGTCTTTGGTCGTTTACCTTCAGTTCCTGGTTCAGTTGAATTTTCTACGGGTGCAGGCCCAATTCACGACGCAAAATTCGCCAAGTTGTGGTCTGCAAAAGGCCGAGTTTTTGTTATGGACGCGATATCAACTGCCTAGGATTCTCATGCACACTCTCACAGACAGCGGCGATGTTATCGGCAGATCTTGCGTTTTGTCGAAGTACGGACGTTGGTCGATCGTTAACTGAACCAGTGGATTTAAATTCATCCACCACATTGGGAATACTCCTCTCGGTAGGACGATTGTTATTTGCACGTGCTGTTGAATGTTATATCCGTCCATGGTGATTTGACCAAAAAGACTGAGTAAATGACAACTTATTCGATAGATGGCCGATATCAATTGTAAAAGTTCGGAATTCTCCGTTGAAAAACCCTATAAATATCAGTCTCAAAAGATTTCCCACTCAAACTTTCAAAAAGGGTACATATTTCTTTAGAAATTTATGGAAGAAAACTTTCCATTTTTAAAATTTTTTCAGGCAATCCCGCTTTTCTGTATTGTGTAACTGACAATGAAAATGTTCATGAATGTTTCTGAAAAACGTGGTATGAGATTTATTAACGATGATGAAATTACCATTCTCAATAGCTTATTATTCGCAGCAGTACGTAATTACAAATTGGAAAAAATTTGAGATTAGATATGAGTCAGATAATAAATAATAATAGAACAGTAACATATTACTAGGAATCAATTCAAGGATTCGTATACTAAGATGCACAAAAAAATCATCATAGCTTATGAGAAGTAGTTCAAGTCAACTGTATCACTACCAATTTGCTCAGATATTTGGTTCCTGGCATCAATTTTGGCTGCTCAACTCTTGTGCTTATTATGTTTTGGGTTCCTCAGACATTCATGTTCTTTACAAATTCATTAGTTGCAGAACTTGTGTATTACTCCATTCCATTACATAATACTTATTATTCAATTTTCTGAATTATACAAATAAACGTTAATAACTAAAAACAACCAAACTACATGACCAAACTAAAATCACACGTGCCCCTGGCTTATGTTTGTTTACATAGTTTTTAACGAATGCATTCGCTTATTCGTACATACTAGCACATTGCCCACCGTATGCGAACGAGAATCCTTTGAAGTACCGACTCATGGGGGAACTCTACCGAAAGCAAACGCATGCGTTCCTTCACGTGCGTTTCTTGGTACACAGTTGCCGAACGTATACGTGAGGTTCTGTTCATTCGCTTTCGTTCGTCTAGTGAATACGCGGCTTAAGGTTTTCAAAAAGTGGTGGAATAATCGGAAACAAAGATCAACAGGCGACCTTCTATCGTATGTCACCCATATTTGGAATAACGCAATCGAGAAACATGGAGGGTCAAGAGCTGTTGCGCTTGATATTTCTGAGGCATTTGACCGTCTGTGGCATGAGAGTTTGCTGACCAAACTTTGATGCTATGGCTTGTCGAATCATTTTTGTGTATTGCTCTCCAGCTTCCTGAAAGAACGTTCCTTGCAAGTAGCCGTCGATGTTTATCTCTCAAATACTTTTACCACCAACGCTGGTGTTCCCCAGGGATCCATATTGTCTCCAACCCTATTTTTATTGAATATCAACGACTTATTGAATAAAAACAAGAATCCAATATATTGCTTTGCTGACGACAGCACACTTGTCTCGTCATTCCATTTGGATTCCAGGACGTCGGCTACGGAGGCACATCTCCACCGACAGCAGGAGGTTGCATATCTTAATGAGGATCTAGAGGTGATTTCGAATTGGAGTGAAAGTAACTAGGGTCAATTCAATGCCACAAAAACCCAGGAATCGGTTTTCTCCAAGAAGATAAATGTCTCCGAACCAGATATAATAATGTCAGGACAGATAATTCCGCTTTCTGCTTCGATACGTTTGTTGGGGGTTAAGATTGGAACACTGTTGCCATCCAGAAAACTGCAAATACCTCAGCAAGTTTTGATGCTTTATGAAGCTCAGATCCGACCTTCTTTGGAGTATTGTTCTTATGTATGGAACTCCACCTCTAAGCGTACCCTGAAGCTGCTGAATTCCATCCAGAAAAGATCCATCCACCTGATTGGATACTTGAACATCACTTGCAACCTCAACAGTCTGAAAAATTGAAGAAAGGTTAGAGATTTGTCTCTCGTTTATAGATACTTTTACGGGAGGTGTTCAAGTGACCTGGCACATTTGATTCCACCAAGAGCGGTACATATTAGAGGTACGCGACGGACTGTAGTTGCTCATCGTTTCGAAGTTCAACTCAGTACACCTCGAACTTCATTGCTCAAAAACTCTTTCATTAGGAGAACTGCGTGTATGTGGAATAAACTTCCTGATAACCTTTTTCCAAATGAATCAATTAATCAATCAATCAATCAAAATATACTTTATTGTCCAAGAATAACAATTCTCATGACAAAGCATACAGTCACCATGATAACATCACAAATATACAGTTAGCAAGGAGATCATAAATACACATAAATTCACACTTAAAATAAGCGGACCTAATTACATATACAAAAGCAACAAGATTCACACCACTAAGCCTAATAACATTAAATGAATAAAGTAACATGCCGGAAACACAAAAGGAAACATTTTTTACATTTTGTACTTGAAATTACAAGGACTACCTCTAAATATATAAAGAATTAGGCATACTTTATATGACCGCCGGCAAAGAAGAGATCTCCGCAAAAAGGATCCTGAAAGTATTCTTCTAGGGTATAGTAGGCCCTCCCAACTATGAGCGTTTTTACAAATTTTCTGAACTTGACTTCGCATTTGATGACACGCAAGGTTAAGGGAAGGTGATTGAAAATTTTCTTGCCCTCAAAAATTAGAGAGTTGCGAGTTAAGGTTGAGGAGGGAATTGGAAGCGAGATCAAGTGAGAGGAGCGAGTGTTATAGGTTGACTCAGAAGTAATTATAGCTTGATATTTCTTATGCATGAGACAAGCCATTTCCAAAATGTAGATACAAACCAATGTCATAACCAGCGATACAAATCTACCGTGAATCGCTACCTTCGCACAGGCACCGCTCTTAGAGCGCCTCAAGGATTCACCTGTAGTGCCTGTGTTTTGTCCTTGAAAAAAGTTACAGCCTTTTCCTCGAGTCAAGGTCTTCATTATGTCAAACGCGATAACTATGGAGTAACTCCAATATAGTTGTTCAGTTCGAAGTTTTCTATATAGAGTCCTCAGACAGCCTTAGCATCATGAACTGAGCATCCTGATAACTCTGGCTGAAGTTTGAAAAGTTTTGTGGGTTCGAAGAACTCTGCTGCTCCAGGTCCAGATGAGCTGAACAGTTATTGAAAAAATTGCAAAACACCCACGGCCATCTGGTCAGAGGTTTCGCCTCATGGCCGAGGGGCGAATCTTTCTTATCTCCGAAAACTGAATTTTGTCATCTCTGTATCTCATACACGCGAATACTATCCATAGTTAACCCGGTATTTGGTGAAAATATGAGCGAAGAGGGTCAAAGAAAGAATTGAATGCAAGAATAACCTTCCCAATGACAGATGCATTACGGCTAACCTCTCTACAACGAGAACCTATTACCTTCAGGCTTTTGATACAACAGTGCAAGAAGTCATTTTGCATTTCCTTAATACCTTGCGGTATTAACTCTACAAAATATTGAGAAGCATTGAATAACTGAAAATAGAGTTAAAAAGAGAAAATTTTCTTGCCCTCAAAAATTAGAGAGTTGCGAGTTAAGGTTGAGGAGGGAATTGGAAGCGAGATCAAGTGAGCGGAGCGAGTGTTATAGGTTGACTCAGAAGTAATTATAGCTTGATATTTCTTGTGCATGAGGCAAGCCATTTCCAAAATGTAGATACAAACCAATGTCATAACCAGCGATTCAAATCCACCGTGAATCGCTACCTTCGCACAGGTACCACTCTTAGAGCGCCTTAAGAATTCACCTGTAGTGCTTGTGTTTTGTCCTTAAAAAAAGTTACGGCCTTTTCCTCGAGTCAAGGTCTTCATTATGTCAACCACGATAACCATGGAGTAACTCCAATATAGTTGTTCAGTTCGCAGTTTTCTATAGAGACTTCCGACAGCCTTAGCATCATGAACTGAGCATCCCGATAACTCTGGCTGAAGTTCGAAAAGTTTTGTGGGTTCGAAGAACTTTGCTGCTCCAGGTCCAGATGAGCTGGAAAAAACTGCAAAGCATCCACGGCCATCTGGTCAGAGGTTTTGACTCATGGCTGAGGAGCGGATCTTTCTCTGTCATCTCTGTATCTCATACACGCGAATACTATCCACAGTTAACTCGGTATTTGGTAAAAATATGAGCGGAGAGGGTCAAAGAAAGAACTGAATGCAAGAATAATCTTCCCAATGACAGATGCATTACGGCTAACCTCTCTATAATGAGAACCTATTACCTTGAGGCTTTTGATACAACAGTGCAAGAAGTCATTTTGCATTTCCTCAATACCTTGCGGTATTAACTCTACAAAATATTGAGAAGCATTGAATAACTGAAAATAGAGTTAAAAAGATCCCTATCGACATTGAGGATTGTGGAATAGTACACATATGATATTGGTATCAAGTTAAGGATAGAAAACAGTCTATTTCAAAAAAGGACGATGCGGATATGACGAAGATGATTTGTATAATACATGAATATTACTGAATTTTTTTCCCAACACTTCGACACGTGTTGCGATCACCGAGTGATGATCTTCAAGAGAAAAATCAAACTGTTTGATCTTCCTCTTTTTTCCCAACTCCAAACCGTTATTTCAACACCTCGACACGTGTTGCCATCACCAAGTGATGATCTTCAAGAGGAAAATCAAACTGGTTGATCTTCCTCTTGAACATGATCACTTGATGATTGAAACACGTGTCGAAGTGTTGAAATAACGATTTGGAGTAATATTTATTCATTACAACTACTACTACTAATATTCATTACTACACCAAAGGTTCCAAACAGTATACCACAAGTGTATAACACATAGACAAAAATATCTTTCTGAACTACTGAAATGCCTGAGTGATGGAACATCGCCATTCATGAGAGGTTACATAGGTGAAGATTTCTCTCTGTGGAAAGTATTAGTACAAACTTGACAGATCTGGTCATCAGTAAGGAGGACTCGAAAAAAACTGCACCAACTCAAAATGTAGACTCAAAAAACAATCCAGCTCCATAGGAGTTTGCATCCCGAATCGTCCGTTACATAGGTATACTTTTGCCGACGATGAAGGAGCCGTGGACTTTTGAATTTGAAGTTTGTATATAGAATGGAGCTTGTGAAGTACCTAAATCAGGAGTTCAAATTTTCTTTTTTTTTTGAACATGAGATTAGATAATACCTTTTTGAGGACCTGAGTGGTCGATGTTTTCAGCACACCGAAACCTTGTCAACAAGTTTGGTTATTGTTGTTTTCATTTGTCATGCTGTTCTTTCATATAGTCATTTTCAGTTTCGAATTATTTTAATTCCCCATCTTGTTGTTCTTAATGTTTTAGGTATATCATTGAGTCATAAATACATTTTTTCACTTCATTCTCAGTTGGATCTATAAATCAGTGATGATTATCTAATTATCTAACGTACGGACCTTAAGATATTCCCCTTTTCAGCCTGATCAACGAAAGGAATCGTAATGCGAAACTGGAGAAAAAACTGCAATTTGTGAAAGATAATCAGGAAGTCTTCATCCGCTTGAAAGAAGCGTACATCAACATGAAATATAATGAAGCAGCAGGAAGAAAGATGATCGAAATAAGAGAAAAGGGACTGCAAACTTGGGAGGGGATCTTGTGCAGGGGATGTATAGAAGCAGAGGAGCTGAGGAGGCAGATGGAGACTGTGAAAGAAAAGTATAAGGATTCCTGTATTGTTGCTCCGTAAGTATTTATTGAATTTGTTGGAAACTTTTACATATCTAACCATTGCACTGAATTGCAAGTTGTTGACAATAAACTTCCGATTTACAAGCAAGTAATTAGCCAGATATTGCTCTAAGTCTTTGAACAATATATCTTGGACTTCATTCTTTTGCTTCCTTGCTTATTTTTTCCTTTTTGTCCATTGTATCTCCAACATCGTCCAATTATCTTGTAGTGAAAGCTGCAAAGAAAGGCTTTGCAACTGACCACTATTGGTCTGACCCCTCTGGACCTGTAGGTTAAGGAAGAAGCGTTAATGGCCATGTTACGATTGCGCACGGCTGGTGAGAACCTCAAAGTAGGAATGGGTCAATTGAGGCCGAGCCTACGGCGAGAAGTGCTTACTGCGAAACCTCTGCTGCAGGCAGAGGTTGCGCAGGTAATTCAATTGCTGGCAATTGAACCCAGGTTTGTGTTCAATAAACGCTACAAAATACAAATGAAACAGAACACAGAGTCAGATGCTACAAATGCAATACGCATATATACAGACGGCTTAAAAATCAAAGAATGCTCAAGATGTGGAGTGTACTCCAAATCACTACTGATTCTGAGTCTAAGGATCGAGTGGGAAATGGGAAAAAATATCAGCGTGGTTCAAACAGAACTGGCTGGCAATCTACACTGATAGCAAACAAGCCCTATTAGCCTTGAACATTCAACGTGTTACCTCAGGGCTAGTACTAGAGTGCCATCAAGATTTAGCCAAAGCCTCGGTGTATAATAACATTATCCTGAGGTGGATTAAAGGGCACGACAGGAGTAAAGGTAATCGCATTGCCTACTCTTTAGCCAAGGAAGCTGCTGGACTTAGAATTTTAGGACCCAGTGGCACCCACGGCCTGATGACTTCGACAATTGCGGAACTAGTCAAATGTTACACCCATGCTCAATCCTTAATCAGGAAGTCTTCATCCGCTTGAAAGAAGCGTACATCAACATGAAATATAATGAAGCAGCAGGAAGAAAGATGATCGAAATAAGAGAAAAGGGATTGCAAACTTGGGAGGGGATCTTGTGCAGGGGATGTATAGAAGCAGAGGAGCTGAGGAGGCAAATGGATACTGTGAAAGAAAAGTATAAGGATTCCTGTATTGTTGCTCCGTAAGCATTTATTAAATTTTTCGAGAACTTTCACATATCTGCACATATCTTCAAATTGCACCGAATTGCAAGTAGTTAACAACAAACTTTCGATTTACAAGCAAGTAATCAGCCAGATATTCCTCTAAGTGTTTGAACAATATATCTTGGATTTCTTTCTTTTGCTTCCTTGCTCATTTTTTCCTTTTCCCCATTGTATCTCCAACATCATCCAATTATCTTGTAGTGAAAGCTGCCAAGAAAGGCTTTGCAACTGACCACTATTGGTCTGACCCCTCTGAACCTGTACGTTGAAGAGGTTGCGTTAATGGCCATATTACGATTGCGCACGGCTGGTGTGAACCACAAAGTAGGAATGGGTTAATTGAGGCTGAGCCTAGGGCGAGACGCGCTTAATGTGCAACCTCTGCTGCAGGCAACCAGTTCAATAAACCCTACAAAATACAAATAAAACAGAACACAGAGTCAGATGCTACAAATGCAATACGCATATATACAGACGGCTCAAAAATCAAAGAAGGCTCAAGATGTGGAGTGTACTCCAAATCACTACTGAGTCTGAGTTTAAGGATTAAGTGGGAAATGGGAAAAAATACCAGCGTGGTTCAAACAGAACTGGCTGGTATCTCAATCGTCACAAAAGAAATAACCAGAAAAAGAATCTACACATAAAAATCTACACTGATAGCAAACAAGCCCTATTAGCCTTGAACAGACAACGTGTTACCCCAGGGCTAGTACTAGAGTGCCATCAAGATTCAGCCAAAGCCTCGGTGTATAATAACATTATCCTGAGGTGGATTGAAGGGCACGACAGGAGTAAAGGTAATCGCGTTGCCTTCTCTTTAACCAAGGAAGCTGCTGGACTAAGAATTTCAAGACCCAGTGGCACCTACGGCTTGATAACGTCGACAATTGCGGAACTAGCCAAACGTTACACCCATGCTCAATCCCTAAAGAGATGGGATGGAATCAAAGGATGCAATTTTTCCAGGATCACCCTGGGCGACCCTAGAAAGCTGGCCCTTAAGAAATATCTGGCGATTACCAGGAAAAATCTACGCTTAACAGTAGGATTTCTGACTGGCCACTGTCAACGAAGGAAACACCTCCACAATATGGGGCAAAAGGACACACCTCTATGCAGTATGTGTGAATTGGAAGATGACTCTCTCAGGCATGTCCTATGCGAATTTCAGGAGTTATCGTTATTAAGAGAGTGTGTGTTCGGCGAGTCTTGGCCGACACCTGCCAATATAAAGGAGATGTCTCCCAGCGACTAGTCCACCTTCCTGGAAAGGACAGAATGGACGATGACCTAGGAGGACAACTCCTTGGGAGGCTGTACAATGGGTCACATGTGGCCTGAGTGCTGTGGGCCTACACTCACCCTCCCTACTCTACAGATACAGATACAGAACTGACCACTATCAAGCTCTTTGATCATCTGAGGTAAGCATGAATAAGGGAAAAACACATCCTCAAGTTAAAGACCGACATGTAAGTGGAGTAGACTATTGATTAGAATCGTAGAACGCTATAAAAGTTAAGTGATATTAAATAATCACCAACACGGTGTTTTACGAAACATTTGGTGATTTGGGTAACGTGAAATAATCGAATCAGTATTCTTGCTTGGTGTCTGTAGTGGCTTGGACCTGATGAACGTATTCTTTGTTGGTTGGTGACTGTCGGAAGCTGATTTTTTGTAGCGGATTGATAACCAGTCGAGACGATAGAACTTATGGGTTGATCTTCCGCAGTGCTAACGACTGGTTACTATTTTATGCCACGTGAACTATCTTTTGAACTTGTTTCATTTAGTGGTTACGTTAATTTCATATGAAATCGAAACTTGTTTTCAGTTTGTAGAAATGAAAATAATTCTACTGGTTTCTATTGATTACTTCAAATTTGACAACAGTTTACATTCAGATGTTTTTCGTATTCTGGTTTTTTGTAACTGGATTTTGCTTAGGTTCGAAGTCGAGCAACTTGTTAACACCGTAAAATACCTCAAGGATTTAATAGATCGCAGAGAAAAATCTTGGGCTTTCAATGCTGATAGAGACAATAAACTTCAAACTCATATCAAGACTCTCGAAATGGAAAATTCAGCCCTTAGGGATTTGATCCAGAACAGAGACATTTATTTAGAGGATAACCAAAATGAGGATGGAATGAATCAAAGTGAAATGATGACTATTAGAGCAGAAATAACCCAATTGAAAAAAATAATAATCAAATACGAGAAAAAAATCAGGTGAGGGTTCAAACAAAATGACCACAATAATAAAAATGAGGAAGTAGAAGTATGTGAGAATCTCTCATTCGAATTATTTGAATTTTCAGAGAATTTGAGAAAAGTGATACAGGCGATATGAAACTGTGTCCCTCCTTGAACAACAGAGAAAAGAAGATAGTTCAACAACTGATGACAAAGTGAGTTATGTTTTCACCTTCTCATTTCATTCTAGAGAATGGATGTGTACTTACTAATTATGAAAAAATAAATAGAGTTATGAAATTTAGGTTAGAAATATTTGATAAATCCCGTTGGGGTTGGCGAACAGTTCATTCCTAATTTTCTGATTGTGAAGTTTTTTGCTTTCATTTATCCTAAGTTTGCAGCTGTTGCGAGCATTAACAAACCTAGTTTGGTTTTTCGCACTGGGATTTTTGCGCCACTGCAGGTAGGCAAGATTTTCAGAGGCGACAGCTTGCTCGCAAGTTATGTTGAACAAAGATTTGCCGTTAGGTCTTTTCACTGGAAAAATAATATATGTATCCATGGATGATAGAATAACTTCCGTGTCTTCAGAAGCACAAGTTGATGGATCTTTACAGCTGAAACATTCAGCTGATCTGTAATGCCAAACTTTATGCGGCTTAGATTGTTCCCCAAAATTCTCGTATTATTATGAATATTTCTTGCATCGTTTTTTTTTGAGATTAACTATTTCACATTTGTTTTTATCGCATCAGGTGCTAGCAATCGCATGATAAAAGGTGAGACCTCGTTAGTTTTTAGTTGGAGTGAAAATCTAACAATGGAGTAAGACGTGACACGTGTTTCGCTATACAATAGCGTCCTCATTATGAACAAGCTTGAGGAAGCTATTGTACGTGTACTGCTGAAAAATAATGTGAATGTTGAAATTTCGCAGGCTACGAACATTCGATTAGAGTTTCTTTATGTTGGTGCACTCACAGTTTCAACTGTGCCGAGTTTAGTTAAAAAGGTTTTGCATATTTGGCGATTTTCTGCTATCGAAACAAATTAACCAAAGAATTTGCATAAAATTTTGTGTAAAAAAGGAAATTGCTTGTTGGTAATTTCCTGGACAAAAACAATACTCTAATCAAGACTCAGCCACCGTATTCACCAGATTTGGCCCTCTGCGATTTTTGCTTGTTCCCAAGATTAATGGGACACATGGAAGGATGGTGTTTTGCGTCGATAGAGGGGATAAAATCCAAATCGGTGAGATAGTTCAAGGACATAACAAAACGTGCACATTAGAACTGCCTCGAAGATTGAAAAAAATGTTGGCAAATGTTCTCTGAAAGAACGTTCCCTGCAAGTGGCCGTCGATGAATATCTCTCGAATACTTTCACTATCAACGCTGGTGTTTCCAGGGATCCATATTATCTTCATCCCTCTTTTTATTGTATATCAACGACTAATTGGAAAAAATAAAAAATCCAATATATCGCTTTGCTGAAGACAGCACACTCGTCTTGTCATTTCATTTGGATTCCAGGATATCAACTACGGAGGCAGCAGGAGGTTAATGAGGATCTGGAAGTGATTTCCAATTGGGGTAAAAGTAACCAGGTTCAATTCAATGCCACAAAAACGGCTTCGGTTTTCTCCAAGAAGATAAATGTCTCCAAACTCGATATAGTAATGTCAGGTCAGACAGTTTCTCATCCTGCTTCGAAAAGTTTTTTGGGGGTTAAAATGGACACCAATATGTCTTGGCACAATCATGTCGCTGGAATTGCAAAGGCTGCTTCTCAAAAACTTGGATAAGTGTTTTGAACCAGAAAACTGTACACACCTCAGCAACTTTTGAGGATTTATAAAGCTCAGATCAGACCCTGAAGTTGCTGGATTCCATCCAAAATAGAGCCATCCGCCTGATTGGAGACGCGAATATGACGTGCAACCTTGATAGCCTGGAACATCGAAGAAGGGTTGGAGATTTGTCTCTCTTCTGTAGAGTGTCTTGGCACATTTGATTCCACCAAGAGACGTACATATCAGAAATACGCGACGGACTGTTGCTGCTCATCGTTTTGAGGTTCAACTCAGTACACCTCAAACTTCACTGTTTGAAAACTCTTTCATCTGGAGAGCTGCGTTTATGTGAAATAAACTTCCTGAGAACGTTTTTCCAAATGAATTTTATCTCCAGCGATTTGTCCCTGAAAAAAAATTCGAGAAAAATTTTAATTTATCTTACCTTTTTACCAGACGTTGTATAGTGGAAAATGTGTTGCTGTTTTGTAACTGTTCGATGCAGATTATTTTCTTTCGAGGTGGAGAGTCTCATGTTGCCTGTAAAAAATATGTGGATGATCGGATAATTTGAATAATGAGAGACGAAAAAGAAGGAAGTTGAGGAAATCGTCCTCCTCGAGAACTTCAGCTGTTGTCTAGTGCATCCCTTTTTTTTTCCCTAACCAACGACTTTTTATCAACTTTGCATTCCTCCTCTTCTATAACTGACTACTTCCTCATTTACAATGTTTCATTATAGGTTCAACTCCAGAATGGAGAGAAAAAGTAGAAGTGCTTCGAGGGAACCTAAACTAGAACCCGGAGGCAAACTTGCACCAGGAAGAAAATTTTGCCGATGTATAAATAGATGTTCGAACCATCTAGACGTAGAAGAAGAGATCCGAGGTAGAGTCCGATGTTTGAAACCAAGAAATGGCGATAGAATTAATTCAAATGCAAGTAAATTGGAAAAAAATCCAGACGCAGCAATCATGATGATGGATTATTTATTTGAAACTGAATCTAATAACGGATTTTAATGTAACTTTGTGGGCCACAAAGTAGACACAAGATTAGGCCTGAATTTCGCTTGAGTCTGTATATTTACTCATATCAAGAGTTTCTTGGAATAGTAAATATTTACTTTAGTAGTAGTCTTTATTATTATTCGCAATCAATGATAGTTAAGTTAATAATTTGAATTCTAATTATTCAATAATTATCCACAATGTGTTGTTTACCGACATAACTTTCACTACAAACGGAGTAGCATCACCACGAAATGTCACTTTAAGTTTCCAATGGTCAATTTTTACGTTTTTCACAAGTCCCTTTCAAAATCGTAATTAAAAAATCAGACCTGGTGAATTTTTCGTAGTTGAAATAACCAATTTCAGTAAAAGTCCGCATTTTGTTGCGATGATAAAGTTAATTCAAATGTTATATTGAAGACGATGTCAAGAAATAAATAAAGAACACTGAGTTAACAAAATAATAAGCATTAAAAATATCTGATTGAGAATCTGATATGACTTTAAATTATACAGAAATATGCTCACTTTTGAACAAGATAAATTTTTCTTATTAGTCAGTGAGATATGCTTGAACAAATCTAAAAAAATTAACTTTAAACGTTCAAGCCAGTCTTGAATATACTTACACAGTAAGTTGAATGGGCTGACGCCTATCAGAAAACAACTACTGCCCTGGCTAATACCACGAAGGGCGTTGGATTATATCCGACAGGCGTCAGTGCAAAAGTCTTCACAGAACATTTCCTGCATATGCAATTGACAATACAACTTAAAGAGTCGACCTTCAATTTTAGAACGGGCACACTTGCACGAGGAATGAAATACTCTGGAAGAATTTCAATTTTCAAATATGGAATATCATTGACTTTAGGTCGATGATGGTCACTATATTGCATTGAGCCCGAAACCGGTCTGCAAGTGTGCCCGTTCCAAAATTGAAGGTCGACTCTTTCAGTTGTATTGTCAATTGAATATGCAGGAAATTTTCTGTAAAGACTCCTGCACTGACGCCTGTCGGATATAATCTAACGCCCTTGGTGGTATTAGCCAGGGGAGTCGTTGTTTTCTGATAGGCGTCAGTCCATTCAACCTACTGTGTAGGCATATTCGAGACTGGCTTGAACGTTTAAAGTTCATTTCTTTAGATACATTTCTGATTCAGTGGTGAAGTTCCGGGGTTCTCGATTGAAAGGTAATCGCGGTTGAATTCAATTATTTCAAGTCGTTGAAGTATCACCCTCAAAATAATCTAGGTACATGAAATTTTCCAAAAAGGTTCTATCAACTTTTTTGCTTGGATCAATACTTGAGCAAATATGAATAGTGAAAAATGGAAAATATTCATAAAAATCGATTTTTATGGTTGAAAAACAAGTTTCGTTAATGATCCAAATAGGTATATTATGTCGTATGGATCATGTCAGAAATGTCACATAAGTCAAAATGATAAAACTTTCAAAGTACGCATAAAGGTACATAAAAACATAGAGATATGAGCTCAATGAATTGAAATCCCATGGAGGAGATTCGTGAAGGTTGGGAAAAAACTGTTGTTGGCCATTTTCCAAGCGCCCCAACAGATCTCAATAAGCTAAAGTACAATTTCTTCTTGCGGTCTTGAGTGAAACCAAAGTGACTCTTCTCGGTACATAAGAACTGCCTGCTAGACTGAACTCACTGAGATTATATTTACAGGTGAATCCTCAGTAGCCTGCTTCGTACAATATGTATAATTGAATGCCGGTTATCTCATTTTGAATACTAAATAATAGTGATTTCAATACTTCCTTACATATACAATAGGTGGCTGAGCAACCCCCACTACCCACACAATGTGGTTAGGCCATGGGAGAAGACGAAATATTATTCCTCATTACCATCCAAAACCCTGGGGCACATTCTAAATAGGATATTTCGCCATTGCCCCACAGGGTGTGGTGTACCTACGGAGTGGCTGCCAAAAAGGTCGTTATCAAACCACTATAATATATTGGAAAGTCCGCTTCAACTCTTGTTTTCAAGATCGACCTTTTTTTTTGATATATTATCGATGAGTGGCGCCAGCGAAACTCATTATATTGCCGGCTATCTGCTGCCCAAATATATCATTCAAATAGATATTGAAAAGTAATGGACCAATTATTGCATCTTGGGGCACCCCAAATTCCATGCATTGCGTCGAACTGAACGAATCACCGACCTGCACAAAATGTCCTCTGTTAGGATTCAATGAGTTTCAAAGAAGTGTTTATGAACCCAATACTTTCCATTACCTCCAGTAATTTTTTATGACGAATAGTACCGAAAACTTTTGTCAAATCTACAAAAATGCATAATATTGCATCGCCTTCATCTTCTGCATTCTATATTTCTGTATTCTATGGTTCACAGTGAACCCCTATTTTTCCCTAAGTAGGATTATGAATTCAGGTATGTCTTCTGATTCATATTGATCAACTTCCTTTGACCAGTGAATAATGAAGTTGTATTTTTATAATTTGATTCCTGAGTCTATGAGTCGATCATTGATAGTATCACTTCATTATTCAGCTTCAAATTCATTCCTTCAACTTCTGCCAGTTTGTTGTCGAACTGCTGCTGCTTGGCTCTAACAAGTTTTATTTCTTCCTTGTTTCATTATTCTCCTTCATTATATTTTCTAGGAAGGCGTACTTTTAATTCATTGTTACTCTTGACTTCGATTCCCTCTTCTTCCGAACTAATATAATAAAATAATAATCCAGTAAGGTAAGCGGATCCGATGTTTTTTATCTCCTTGACTTTCTATAGATTAGAATTACTTTTCATTCAATTATCCATATTGGTCATGTGAATACTTCGTAAATATGAGTGGAAAACCTGAAAACCAGCGGTGTTATATTATTTTTCGCTTTTGGCTTTTGTGGAAGTAATTTTAATACTACCTCAACTAACTCCTTCTCTTACTAGACAGCAGCTTCATTTCTTAATCCTCTCTCATTATTTCTTGCGTTTCTGTCAATTTTTTCCATTCAAAGATATTTTTTTAACAAACATATCCCCTGGCAATTTGAATCAGACCATATCATTGAAACGATTCAAAGTTGACAGAGTATTTATGAAATATTTTCCCAGTTTTATTTTTAGTTGATAGAGTGGATGCACACTAAATCTGAAAGCGTGGTATAGTTGAAAGTCGCTACTTTCAACTATAAAAACGTATGTTAATACGCTCTGAAAATCAAAATAAACATTTTAAATTTGACAATACAATAAACTGTATTGATGAGCCTTTAGTAGACCTTTCATCACTTGACGAAATTTCACAGTAGTATTTCCAATTTGAATGTGTCACATCCTCTGATGTTCATAAATATTAACAGATACAAAGGCAGATATCCGGAATGAAAATAACCCATGAAGAAAAAAATATACTTTTTCTAACACACAGCTAAGTCATAATATAAATTATTTCACATATTACTATACAATTTAGTTCAGTAACAATCACATTTTCTTATGTCAAATATTGTATTACATTTATGATGAACCTAATATTTGATGACATTTTTTATAGTAAATAACAATGAAATTTTGTTTCGAAAAAGTATGAATTTTTCATTATGTTTCTGATCTTCATCGGACTTGGAAGCTTGCCATCAGAAAAGTCTTTCAAAAAATTCACCAAATCATTGTGCTTGCAGAAACCTGTAACAATAAAAAAATCTCTCAGACATTGTTGTGAAAATTCAACATTGTAAAACTTATAGTAATTAATCAACTGAAACAAAACAGGTCATGTCAAATTATCAGAAGTTTCAAGGTTTTTTACACTATAAAGTAGTTATTTTAACATGAGCCCGTTTATTACGAAAAATAATATTGAAGTCTGTATTTGAAGATGGGAAATAAACATGACCAAAAGGAAAAACGTGAGAAATTCAGATTTTTTTGTTCCTTTGAGAGAAGCCGAAAAAAGGACTTCATTTAAAGTGATCAAAATGACAACACGACTCAAATTTATAAAAAGTGAACCATTACCTGAAACAAGAAATCAGATTGCTGAAAACTGTAAGGACGTATTCATGAGAGAAGAAGAAAAAACATGTTATATGTTTGAAATATGTTTTTTCCTTTAACCAGCTATCGCATCCCTACGAACGACAACCCTCAGAAGTCGAAACTTGTGTGAGCTAAGGACTAACGAGGTCTTTCTTTTTAACGTAACACGGGTTGGACAATAGTGAAAATCGAGCGTTCTGCCTGCGCTGGCTTGAACAATCGACTCACATATTGGCCGATTGACCCAGTGAACAAAGCACCCACGTCGAACCGCCCTGTTACCGAGCGACATACACTTTCTAATTTGAAAAATCCTGAACAATGCGATGGAATAGTATTGTTGGTCAAATGTTAACCAGTTGGTTAGAAAGATCCACTCATGAAACTAATTGAAATCACTGCCATTGTAAAATTTAGTTCGATACCAACTTTGGAATAATCGACATTCACTACGCATTGGCCGACCTGTGTCAGGAATCGCACGTTAAAAGGCGAGACATCGTTGTTCCTCAGGTTGCAAAAGTTTCACACTTCAAAAGATTATGATTTGTAACCTAGATATTCATGTAACATAGTTCGCAGTTGAAAATGCATCAATTTTTGCAACTGTGTAATAATAGTAGACTAGAAAAATTTGTGAAAATTTAAAACCCGCACATAAACAATTGCACAAGTTCAAACCTTCAAAGATTCCTAAAGATTGTGTCTATAATGCTAACATTGCTAGCAGTAATGCCAGAAGAAGTAAAATGAAAGATTTTTGTAAACTCGTATACTTTGAAGGAGAAAAATTAGCAATGAAAACGTCATCCGAATGCATCTATTGTTGAATACCTAACTGTTTACATTCAAAGTTGGGCATTTGTTAATCAAAATAAAAAGAGCATAGTAGTGAATATTTCATACAGAATATGTTCTGCAGTGAATTATTGAAATTTTCGATATTTTAGGTTTAAGTTATTCAGGAGTGGTTATTGTGAGAACTTTTGGATTTTATTGATAGTTTTAATTTGAAACGAATGCACACAATACACAATCCTGATTACAGTGTATTCTGTACAATGCAAAAGTTCATGCTAAAACTACATTCAATAAATTGAAGATTTACTATTAATTAAAAATTTTAATGGAAGTTGAAGCAAAATTTAACTCACTGAAAATGATACTCACACAAAAAATCATTATCTACTGGAATTATCATCAATTAGACCAATAATATGGCGCGAAATGAAGAAATAACTCAGACATTTCAAAAGTGGAGATACACCTGGGCTGAAAAGTCCCGGGCTTTATTCATCAACGTTATCTCCATCAAGGGTCACACATTCCAGCGTCGCTCTAACATTTCAATACCAATTTTGTAGAACGATTTATCTTTTACCTCAAAACAGGCCTCTGTTTCGGCAATGATCTCTTCATTCGAGTGAAATTTCTTACCGCTGAGCATTTTTTTGAGGTCTGCGAATAGCCAGTAGTCGCTGGGAGCTAAATCTGGCGAATACGGTGGATGTGGGAGCAATTTGAAGTTTAATTCATGTAGTTTTGCCATTGTTTTGATTGGCTTGTGACACGGTGCGTTGTCTTGATAGAACAACATTTTTTGTCTGTCATATGCGGTCGTTTCTTTGCAATTTCGGCCTACAAACGTTCCAATAACGCTATATAATAATCACTGTAGATGGTATTTCCCTTCTCAAGATAGTTGATGAATACTAAACCACACATATCCCGAAATACCGAGGCTGTAACATTTCCAGCCGATTGTTTTGCAGCCGTCAGTGCAGGATTCTTCAGAGAAAATTTCCTGCATATGCAATTGGCAATACTTTGGAACGGGCACACTTGCACGAGGAATGAAATACTCTGGAAGAATTTCGATTTTCAATTATGGAATATCATTGACTTTAGGTCAATAATGGTCACTATATTGCACTGAGCCCGAAACCGGTCTGCAAGTGTGCCCGTTTCAAAATTGAAGATTGACTCTTTCAGTTGTATTGCCAATTGCATATGCAGGAAATTTTTTGTGAAGATTCTGCACTGACGCCTGTCGGATATAATCCAACGCCGTTCGTGGTATTAGCCAGTGGAGTTTTTGATAGGCGTCGGTCCATTCAACCTACTGTGTAGGTTGGCTTGAATATTCAAAGTTCATTTCTTCAGATTCGTTTACTGCCAGTATTCAAGCATAGCTCACTGACTAATAAGAAAATTGAAGTATGTCAGAACTGTGTACTGTGTAGACTGAAAAAAGATCTAATTGAATAATACATTCATTCGAAGTTGACAAAGAACAAGAATATTGAAGTACAGTTTTATCCCAGACTTGGAATGCTATGATTTTATTAGTTTTGAATCAGCATAACAAGCATCATCAAGTGAAAGTGAACATGATTTGAAGGAAATAGTGAGAATGACAAGAAAGGAAAATGAAAACTTGAAAGAACTAGAAAACGAAAACGAAGAACGGAAAATAAAATCACTGAGAATAAGGAAGGGTAGTAAAAACTCAAATGCAATGCAACTTGCATACGATACAGGTTCTTATTCTGCAGGTGAACACGTGTTAAACGGCAATAAATTACCCATCATTTAAATTCGAGGTTTTAAACTCCTGCAGAAAAAGATTACGCTCAACTTGACGGAGAAGCTTTTTCAATCTTTTATCTTCTTTGTTTTTATCAGTGTTTATTTATACGACCATTCTTCGTCATTACGGATTATCAACCGCGCGACGGGATTTTTCACTAGCACGCAAACATTCCGAAAATGACTTCAGCCCGACTTCAAAGATAAGCCACATTCCTGCCTGTTTTATCGCTTTTAAATTCGAGGTTTTAAACTCCTGCAGAAAAAGATTACGCTCAACTTGACGGAGAAGCTTTTTCAATCTTTTATCTTCTTTGTTTTTATAAGTGTTTATTTATACGACCATTCTCCGTCATTACGGATTATCAACCGCGCGACGGGATTTTTCACCAGCACGCAAACATTCCGAAAATGACTTCAGCCCGACTTCAAAGATAAGCCACATTCCTGCCTGTTTTCAATTAAATATTATAGCATCGCTTCCATTCACTGTATTATTAATTGTAGAATGAGAGATAATCATGTGAATGTTTTTTACTTTACGAGGAAAAACAGTTCAGACTCTTCAGTTTATGACTGAATTCAGTTATATCATCTCGAATATGCTTTTCCGTAAAAACTCTCATTTTTGTCACTCTCTCAACATTTCTATTACCGTAAATACAAGAATGGTGGTCCCGATATCAATACAGGATGTAAAATTAAAACATATCACCCTCTATATTTCGACCCCTATAAACAATCTGAAAATATGCAAAAACACCGCGAACTTATTTATAAGGGAGCATTTTGTAAGGTAGTTTTAAATGAAATTACTTCAAATCTTTGGTGGGGACGAAACCCCTAAAATTTTAGATGAAAAGGGAGATGATATCTCATTTAAAGGTCGTTCAGGTACCTTTCTAAAATTGCTACATAGCTGACCTTTCTTTTCAGTACTTCTGGAGAAATAGCAAAAGTGTAATGAAACACGAAAAATACGTAAAAATTAATTTATCTTATCAAGTGTTCCAATTGTTGTCTATTATTCTCTGAACAGTGGTAAAGTCTACTCTCAAAGTCCACTTTAACATTCCGAACTTTTGCCTGAAGTTTTCTACATGCAGCTGCCATTTTTCTCTTCAAATCATCCAAATGTTGAAGCTGTCTTTTATAAACAATCGATTTAATCACAAAAAGTGACACATAGTCGTTTTTGTTTTTTTTGTAGTATTTAAAAAAATAAATCGTGAAAATTAATTTGTTTAAAATGAATTGTTTATTGAATAAATAAGGAAAATATAAATTGAAAGTTTTTTTCAGAATATCAACGGGAAATAGAAATCATGATTTAGTAGCAAAATAGATTGTTAATAAACAAAAGCGTTTTTAAGCAATAAATTTTTTTAAGAAACGATTTTCTTTTCAAAATCATAATTTTCATCATTGATAAAAATTTCCTCAAAAAATTTCAAATATCTCATAAACAATACATTTGTTTAAAACAATTTTTCAAACAGAACAAAAAATTATATATAATCATTTTTACGTAACTTCAAATAATAAGAATACGAATAAATTCGAATATTAAAAAAAATGTTTCATTGCTTCAATTGAATTTTTAATTTTTTACCGTATTTGATTATTAACAACAAAGCGGAAAATCAAAATTTTTCAATTTTTCCAACAGAAGGCTTTCAAGAAAAGCTCCAAGAAGTGAAAAAAATTTGAGGTTTTTAGTTTAAAAATTATCAGGGTTTTTATGTAAATTCAAAACTTGTAAAAATTAGTTGATGAACTGAAGTATATCTAATAAAATAATCACGGGTAAATTTTTCCATAGATTTTCGTTTAATTAAGTGTCTAGAAGGTATGTGAGTTTTTTTCCTGATAATGATTTTTGATGGGTTAAAATAATTTTCATTGTGTTAAGGTCAGTGCGCATCGCCCGTTTTTAGTGCTATTTTCGCCTCTAAATTAAAATTATAAATATTAGTGATAAAGTTCCGAAAGAAAAAATTTTTTTTGAATATTCCCTCCTCTTTAAGGATCGTTTTTCAAATTTCGGATATCTTTAATATTTTTCGAGATATTTGCAAAAAACTAAACCCCTCATTTTTTTACAAAATTGTATTTAACTTTGGCATTTTTTTGAGGTCATTCCGAATCGAATGAGCCCAGGATCATAATTTTCGGTGCCCTTGGACAGAAGTTCCAAAAAAAAAGGTTTTGTGACTCAGAGTATTCTGGAATATGCCAAAGACGCAATGACGAATATTTCTACTTGAAAACATTGTTTTCAATGTTTCTAAAATAGGTGAAACTCAATAAATCGATTGCTAATTTACGAAGAATAATAATCCTGAAAATATTTTGTACAAATATATCACCTTGTGCTGTCATCAAGAGAAAAACTTGTTCGTAGCTAAATGCTTCATCTAGAAACATAAGCGGTGTTCTATCCATTGATTTAAAAATTTCAGTTGCCAGTTTGAAAGCGAGGTTGTCTATTGTCAATTCATCAGAATTCAGACACTGTCTTTCACATCCTGTATTCTGAAACAAATGAAATGTTTTTTTGACCTCATAAAATGAGCTTGTTTAAAATCTCACATACTTTTATCATATACTGATTCCCATCGAATACATATTCGACTTCATCTATAAACCCTGATTGAATAGGCCTGCCGTCATTATGCAGAAACTCATTAAGTAGATTCCTAATTGAATCATCCGGTTTCAAGGTTTCAGTCTCCATGAAATATTTGACTAGTTGTTCGGCTAAAAGAAATATCTTCGTAGCTAATCGCGTGTTGTCAGGCAGATCTGTTGATATACCATGTAAAAATCCAGGTTGGAAAACTGCAATGGAAAAAAATGGCAATGAATGAGAATAAGTTTTTGTTAGTATAAAATGCACAGCTACATGAGTTTTTCTAAAAACAAATATTCACCTATGGATTTTACGGGATAAAATATTCGTGGCTCAGTCTCGAAGGGGTTTACAAAATATTTCAAGCTGAAAAAAAATGTATCGAAGTATTAGAGAACAAATACTATTTCTTAAAGATTTTATTGTTATCAACTCCACTATTTCTATTTCAGATTACAGTAATTTGTCTATAAAAAATTAGCGTTGTATATTCATATTCATTATTCATTTGATCTCTGAGTTTTTTGGATATTTGTTTGGATTTGGATATCATATTGCTTTTTTTACGAAGCCTCTATGTATCATTTACAACCTCATGCTGAAAAATTGTTACTTTCCGCATATGGAAGCGGAGGGTATGCCCTATCTTTAAAACCGGCAAGAATTCGAAAATAGTAAATTATAGACCGATTACCATAATATCAGTGTACCTACTCGAAATTAGTTGAAATAATTTTATCGGACCTCATTTATAAGCACGTAAGAAACACAATTTCTGAATTCCGACATGGTTTTGTGAAGTGTCGTGGCACTGCATTAAATCTTTGTATTTTTACGCAATATTTCTGCAGTGAGCCTCCAATATCTGCTGAAATCATAGTTCCGGGATTTCTCAAGGTTCAAACTTGGGCCCACTATTATTCCTTCTGTTTGTTAACGACATTTCTGAAAGTATCAACTCCAAAAAAGTACTTTTTGCTGATGATATGAAGATTTTCAGGGAGATTGGAGACTACTCTGATTGTATATCATTACAACACGATATCACTGAGTTACATGTTTGGTGTCAGAAAAATGAACTATCATAGGCAAATGTAAAACTATGACATTTGCAAGGAAATCCTTAGTACAAATATATAACTACAAATTGGATAATATAACATTGGCAAGAATTACCGAAAAGACAGATATAGGTATTATCTTTGATGAAAAACTAACGTTCTCGCTCATGCATTAATTTCATCACTCCAAATTTCAATTTTTTGAGTTGACCCGATCAAAAAATGAACGGGGAGGGACATTGAAGAAATGCACTGTATAATGCACTACGTAACTGATTGAAACTAATTCTTATATGTTGTAATGTTTCATGGTATGTAATGCTATCATAGATTTCGTTTTATGTTTTAATTTTTGTTTTTCAGGACTAAAATAAGCTTTTCATTTGGTATTATGTACTCCTGTAATTGGGTCTCATGACCTGTTGTATGTATTTTCTCAATGAATGAATAAATAAAATCATTTTTTCGATATCGTCAGAAAATTCGATCGTAGCAATTTCGTCACTTCAATAATTGATTTTCTATTAGATTTTGAAACTAACTGTTAACACTAATTTTAAACAATGGTAGTTCGAACTTCTAAGTTTCAGTAGTTCACTGAGATCTACCAATTATTTCATACAAAATAACATTTTTGAAATTTTACCTTCTACCATTTTTTTCAAGATTTTCAGACTCTCTTCTTTCTTCTTTCGCACAATTCAAGTATGAAATTCGAAACATTTACCTGTCAAAGTACCTTCATACTAGTATTTGGCATACGAATTCAGAAAATGAAGAAAATTTTAAATTTCATCTGTTTGGAGAGTCCGAATGTAAAATTTTTTCATTATGTTGTACTCAAGCTCCTGACATACGATGAAATTCTCAGCTGTTATGTATTCATTGTTTACTTTGTCTAAGAAGAGACGTGTTTTAAGACCGCGGTGATTTTCGTTCGTTGATATAAATGGATCAAAGAATTTCCATTAGTCAAAAATGAAATACAGTTATCAAAGTGTTTGAAATTTCAACAAAGACGTATGGTGAGTCTGCTATGAGTAAAACAAGAGTTAACAAGAGTGGTATACGCATTTTCAAGATGGCTGAGGAGACGTTAAAGATGAAGAACGCCCCAGTACAACAACCGATAAAAACAAATTTTCATGAATGATCGCCGAATCACAATTAGAGAATTCGTTGATGATGTAGTAGCATAATTTGTGTTCCAAAATTGTTAAATTTTGAATGAAAACAGCGGCTTAATCGTCAAAAAGACGGTATTCTGGCTCGACAAGTGCGATCAAACGTGGTTCGATGGCACAGTTCATCATAATCTCTTGCCACGAGGTCAATCGTTCAATGAAGTACTATGCGTTTGCGTGAAGCAACCAAAACACGCCAAAATTTGTGCTAAAACAATTCTAGGCTTCTGCACTTCATAGCTTGTCCGTAAATTTTTAGCCAACAACGATGCACTAGCCTCCATATTCACCATACCTGGCTCCGTATAACTTTCTCCTATCTCAAACCGAAACGTTAACCACTCAAGAAAGCTAGGTATGAATATTTAATATTTTCAACTGATTTTTGTCATTTTGTAGGCAAAATTCATGAACACGACAAGTTACTGACTGACTAATTGGACTTTCCAGTAGTTTATATTACGCAGTAACTTTTCGGGTTGAACTTTTCAGTTTGCCCTTCACTACACTTCAGCAGATTCTCTCTTGATTTATCATTTATTTTTTCAGATAGTTGAAGGTTATAAACCCAAAAAAAGTATTAAATACTGATACTCATTCAATAAATTGATGGATGTAGCCGTTACTACGTGGTAGGAAATCATAATGAAGAAAAGAGAATTGAAACTTTCTATGTTTTTTACCACTTTTATTGGTAACTAACGTTACTGCAGTTTGAAAATGATCTTATAGGATGAAACTGCAGGTAAAAACTAGGTAAAAACATAGAAAGTTTCATTTTTCTTTTCTTGATACTCATTCAGTTGGTAATCGGTGGTTGATGACACCATTTATTTGGAGGTATGACTGTTAGCGATATGAGAAAAAAACTACAAAAAGATACGCACTAATGGAAGAGTCATCGTTGAAGAAGCTCTCAAAGCATTCCCGAAATAGAAAGGGGTATATTTTTTAGCAGAGATTAGCTTTTCGGAAAGAAAGGTATTCTGTTTTCTACTCCTTCAACTTCTCCAATTTCATACAATGAATGTGGGAAAGAAAGAAAGTAAGCGAATCAATTCAAAATTGACTTCTTACAAAGATGTGCAGATCATGCACATAAGTTACTTTCATAGAGTACAACTGAGGGAGGAAAGTTATGTAGAAGCTAGATAACCCAGTATTCTCTGGAATGCAATTCACCGACGCATGTGACACGTTCCACCATTTCTCCAAAGAATTTTTACGAGGATAACAAAACACTTCATGTGTTTAGAAGAAAATATTTTCATTTCCTCGCCTAGAAAACCTTTTTTTCCAGTTTTTCTCAAGGAAATCATTTTACTTTCACTTTTTTCCCAATGTAAATATATTTTTCTACCTTTTTCTTCTGAGGATTTTCTCTAGTTTTATTCTTACCACTAAATGACTATTATCGGATATATTACTTACAGGCTTTCTGATGATACTTCTTGACTGACTAGGGAATAAATGTTTTTTTTATAGTTTCCAAGCAAAGTCTTTATATTGAGTTGATGCAATTCCTTAGATACATTCAAGTGTAAATAATTGTTCCTGAGTGAATCAAAATCCCCAGGAGTTATTGCTGTCAAATAGATATCTTGCAATGTTTGCATGAATTTTCCGTAGGCGTCTCCTTTCTTGTTGACTGTCGACATAGAGCGGTTGAATTGGATTTTGAGACTATTGAATATATCAACTATTAAGGGAAATGCATCCCACTGAGTGTCTGCATTAATATCCTCAAGAAGAAATGTGGCAATATCAGGCATGAGTTCTGTTCCAAGTCTCATGCAAACCGTTTCTCTTTCAAATGTCTCTCTGTCGACCACTGTATTTTTGTACGTTTGCATGCTGCTCCATAGATTGAGAATTTCTGGCAGATTGCTGGAAAAAGTTGAACTATCAGTAAAAATACATTCAGTTTTCTGTAACTGAAATATTTCAGAATTTGTTGAATAAATCAGTTTAACGGAATAGAAAAGTTTTCTGCATCTGTAGAGTAGGGAGGGTGAGTGTAGACCTACAGCACTTGAGAAACATGTGACCCATAGTACATCCTCCCGAGGATTTGTCTTCCTAGGTTATTGTCCATCCTGTCCTTTCCAGGAAGGTGGACATGTCAGTAGGAGACATCTGCTTTATAACGGCAGGTGTAGGCCAAGACTCGCCGAATACACACTCTCTTACTGACGATAACTCTGGATACTCATAAGATATGCCTGATAGTTTCATCTTCCTGTTCACACATCCTGCATAGGTTAGCGTAGGTCGAGGCTTTGGCTAAATCTTGATGGCATTCTAGTACTAGCCCTGAGGTAACACGTTGTCTGTTCAAGGCTATTAGAGATTGTCTACTATCAGAGTAGGATGTTATGTTTTTGCCAGAAATTCTTTTCCTGGTTATTTTTTTTTGTGGCGATTAAGATACCAGCCAGTTCTCTTTGAACCACGCTGGTATTTTTCTTATTCCCCACTTAATCCTTAGGCTTAGTGATCTGGAGTAAACTCCACATCCTGAACCTTCTTTGGTTTTTGTGACGTCTGTATATATGCGTATTGCATTTGTAGAATGTGACTCTGTGATCTGTTTCGTTTGTATTTTGTAGGGTTCATTAAACATAAACCTGGCTTCAATAGGCTAAGCCTCAATTGACCCATTCCTACTTTGAGGTTTACACCTGCGGTGCGCAATCGTAATACGACCATTAACGCAACCTTCTTAACCTACAGGTCCAGAGGGATCGGACCAGTAGTTTGCTTTTGAAGATTTCGGGAGGTTTTAAGCCCATTAAACATATTTTCCTGGTGAAAAGGACCATCTCAGTATTCTTGGGATTGACAGTGAGTGTTTCTTACACCATGTTTCTATTAATTTGAGCCCATCCTGCGCTCTATGTGTATTCACAAATTTGCCAGTCTGCAAGATAACTATGTCATCTGCATATGCAATTGTGAAGAAACCATTATTGTTGAGGAGATTATTCAGAGTGTCCAGAACTATGTTTCAAAGAAAAGGTGATAAGACCCAGCCCTGTGGACATCTTTCACTGTAATGTCTTCTACATTGATACTTATGGCTCTACTAGAGAACATCTTGAGTATTCATTCTCCTACTACCAGGGGTACATTCCTGTAGTTTAGTTGCTGGGTAATTGTTGTAAAGGTTGTTTTATCAAACGCTCCCTCGATATCTATGAATATACCCAGGGTAGATTCTTTGTTGTCCAATGATCTTTCGATTCTGCCAATCACATAGTGAAGGGCCGAATAAGTAGACCTTTTCGGAGTATATGCATGCTGATTTGGATGAAGTGGGTTATGAACTGGTACTTCATCTCTCATGTACTGCTCACATAGCTTTTGGTATGGTGTAGTCCATCCTACCTGGTTTGGACATAAATATCACTCGTACTTCTCTATACTTACTGGGAATATACCTCAGAGCTAAAGAGGCTCTGAATATTCCAACCAGATGCGGAATAAGAATATCCGTTCCCCATTGAAGTAGGGCTGGCCTAATACCGTCAGGTCCTGGAGACTTGAAGGGAGAAAAGCCTGATATGGCCCATCTTATCTTGTTCTTATCAATTACTGTTTATATGAGAAAAATGATGGATGATTTGACAACTTTGGTTTTTGAAAACTGAAAACGTTTACTTTTGTGTGTTTTTTCATTACTTCAACATACTGAACAAAGTGAAACACTTAAAAAAGCAAAGATTAATATAGAAACGAAAAAAACAAACAAAAGTTCAAGAATATCCAAAAACATGTGGTTGGTAGGTATTAGGGTGACAAATCAATCTTGAAATAAAATAACTGAACCAAAAATACAAAAATATACAAGGTACTCCATTCCAAGTAATTTCTGGATACACAATGTTTAAAACCCTTTACTGAAAATGGGTTGAAATTCAAACACCTTTTAGGTATTTGCTGCTTCATTATTTGAATAATAAAATGCAGATGATTTATTTAAAATTCAGCTGCGATACATAAACGAATATACAGTGCATTCTATTTAAAATGAGCCACCCTGAATAACTTTCGAAACAATGATCTGCAGGAAAAATAAAAAAACAGGCCAACAATTATACAGGAGGCCACGTTTTGAAATATTCGTCCTAAAGACAAATACTAAAAAATAAATCAGAAAAAGATATTTTTTATCAATTCTTGAATCAAAATCTGATGACTGTACAATTCCACCAACTTCTATACAGTGGTACAAACGGGCTTTCATTGTTGCCCTCACATGGTTGAGAATTTCGGGAGTTATTTAGCTGCAATGCTTCATGATATTCTCTCTCCAATCTTCTGATGTTGTTGATTCTATCTCATACACTTCAGAATTCAAATAACTCCATAGAAAAGAATCTACAGAAGTGAGATCTGGAGACCTTGGTGGCCATTCTGTATGACCTCGTATGCCAATCCAGCGACCAGGAAAATGATCATCCAAAAATTATCGCACTGGAGCTGCTTAATGAGGAGGTGCACCATCCTGCTGAAAAACTATTTCGTTTTCGAAAAAATTTATATCCTCCTCAATTACCCTATTGATGTACGGTAATATTCGATTCTCTAACATATCCAAATATTTATCACTAGTCAAATTATCATCGATAAAAAAAGGTCCTATGATGTGATCACCTGAAATTCCTGCCCAAACATTCAGTTTTTGAGGTCGTTGGGTTTGAACTTGATGGTATATAAATGAGGATTCCTATCACTCCAATATTGACAATTTTGCCGATTCACCTCTCCATCCAAACTAAACGTACATTCATCCAAAAAACAAATTTTATACAAGAAATTTTGTACAAGTTGATCCGTTCAGGGAGACTTTCACAAAACTCGTTACGTCTATCAAAATCATCTTCGTTCAACTCATGGACTAGTCTAATCTTATATGGATGAAATTTGTACTTAAGAAGGATCCTGAAAACACTGTACAACTGATTCCTGATTCTCGAGATAACTTAGTGAGAGATTGCGAATTTTACATTAGTCCAACGTGCCCTAAAACTACTAAACTACAGATACCTTCATCGTTGACAACTCCTGAACGGTTATGCTTTTTATTGTTAACAGATCAAGTTTCGATAAATATGTTCAATAATTCCGAAACGTATTTGTCTCGTACATTTCGTCCTGGATGATTATCATTGAACATATGAACATATGAGCAGCAGCTCTTGCACTATTTTCATTCTGGTAGTACAAACTCACTATTTCAATGCGTTCTCGAAGCGTACAAACCACTGCTTCTAAATAATTAACGAAAACAGAAACACCAATTGTAACTTCACCCAGTAGGTAATTGTTATTGCAGAATGAGACAAATACAAAATGAAGAGAATATCAAATTCAAACTTAACTAGGCAAAATAAGACTTTTTTGAAGTAGGTATACTTCACAAAAACACCTATGAAACCTAGGTAACAGATTGTACAGAAGTTCATTCAAGGTGGCTCGTTTTCAACTCAAATAATTTTTAGCTTCCAAACTATGAGCTTCACACCATAATGTATTCCACTTCGTTGAAATCTGTTCTGGTTCCTGGTTTCTCCAGCATACATACCTATTTTGAGCGAAAATATGAAAAACCTTCATCAAATAATCTTCGTGACATATTTTGATTTCCATGTCATCTGAAATTGTAACACCTTTTGTAATTCCCTGAAAAAAATCGATCCAATTGAATCCAAGCGCCACCATTCTCTCATTTCCATTTAGTATTGATGTATTTATCGTTCTGCAGTTATGTGGTTCCAAGTTTTCAGAGTCGAGTCTATATTGTAAACGAAGAGATTCCTACAGACGAAGCAATAAGTAGATGTTGATCAAATTTCGGAAATACACTCACCAGATTTTTCATTAAATTCAGTAAACCATTTACATGTTCCTAAAAATTATTTATATATACAATATTTTGCTGAAGCTCATGATATGAAAAGTAATTGAAGACACTTGTAAATAGTAGCTTTAGGTGGGGTCCGGATACTTTGGGAAAATTTTAACGAGGTCCGAAAAAAAGAAGTGATAATAATTAAGTGCTACCTATGTATTATTTTGTTTCCAAATCAAATTCCCAATTATAAAACACAAGACCTAAAATTATTGTGAGACACTACATAGACGGTCTTGAGCAAGTTTTTATAGTTTGGTTCTTGAGAGGAACAGCAAATTCGAATTGTGTATTCTAGGTAGGCGTCCGTTCATCTTGAACGATATTTCTTTACAAAAAATTCTTTGAGAAAGATGTTTCACATACGTAAACCGAGTCAAACATAGTGGCCAAATTAATAGCTAGTTTCTTGCAATTTTCATATTTTTCTGGGACATGTTTGGCCAAAATTCTTCAGTGCATACCGTTTTATACATTTGCAAATCTTGCGAATCAATTATCTCTATTTGATGTGATGGCTTTGACAGATTTAACAACTTGGTAGCGACATCTGTCCATTCTGCCGCTACATCAACTTCGAATGGCGACTTAAGAAACGAAGATAGCTTGCTTGGAGTCTTGTAGCAAATTCGTTCTTGAAATCAGCCAGAAATTTTACAAACACTGCAGTCTTCTTCAGAATTTTTTTATTTTCAAGAATTGTGGGGAAATAAATAAATTCTTGTCTTGCAATATCTTTTTCAAAGATATCCAGCTTGCGACTAAAAGCAGATTCGCTTTGTATCAGATCATATATCAATTTTCCATTTCCATATATATTAATTCTTTTAGAAAAGCCACTACCAGCATAATGTGCTTGTTTGTTATGAACTCAAAGTGATTTTTGGCTCCCTGCGTATTCAATTTTTGCAAATTCAGCCACAAACGTTCAATAAGGAACATTGTTATGTTGCAGTAAGTCATAATACGCTGAAAGGTCGATGCTGAAGAGCAGAATGAGATCTTATAAAATTATTCAACTTGACCAAGCTGTTCAACACTTCTTTCAGTGTAGCACTAAGTTATCCACAAAGGGCTACATGGTGAATTATGTACTGATATGATATTAGACCTAGGGTTTTATACCTGATTCTCTTTACTACACCTTTTTCTTTGCCAATCATTGCTGAGGTTGAAAGAACATATTTCCGTAAAAATGGTATGTAGTTCAACCTAGGATGTTTCGTGTGCGTAATGAATATTTAAAATTAGTACTAATTCGCACAAATACACACGCACACACAGGCTAGATAGGAAACAGATCAAACCATATTAGTTGTAGTTACTTGTAAAACAAGTTAACTGGGTTACTTGAAATAAAATAAGTACTAAGTTAAATTGACACATTACAATATTCGCCTGTCCGAAGTTCGACCTTTCGCGGTCCGCAAACGGACCACGGTCCGCGAAAAGTGGATGCTCCACGATTCAAACGATTGACAAAAATTGTTACCTTTTGAAGTTTGTTCTTCGTTGTTTTTGAATTAAAAAATATTGTTCTTTCTGGCAGTTTAAGTAAAATTACAACTCATGATTTTGGCTTTTTACAACACATGAACTTTTCGTTGTTTCATTACAATTGTATTGTTGCTACAAACGCAATAGAGGTTTTTATAAATCGTTTACATCAAAATGGACATTCATATCATACGAATTTCCAATTGTAGCAGGTAACACTTGAATTTCAAATATATCACTGTTTCAACAAATATATTAGGTATAGTAATTTCACAGAAGGTCTTCTACAATAGCAACTCTCGTTCAGAATGACTACTACGTACCTGCTTACAAAATTTACCAAGAAAGTCCATTTCAGGTAAATTACTCAGCACATTCATTTCGTTAGCGTATTTACGAACATAATTTTTTGTTTTTTCATGGACACAATTTTCAATGTATTTCAGCATGGGTTTCAAATCAAGTGTGTTGTTATGAATATATTCAGTACTCTCTTCTAAACATTCCTCTCGCATGTTGTCAAGAAAGGAATATTTTTCCAAACTAGTTTTCAGAGTGCTTCTATTTGGTATTGTTACCTGGAAAATAAATTTCGAAATGAGAAAATACTGAAATAAGAGTTATGGAGTCAGTTGTTTTTCGATTTCGAATCTTTCTTCACAGTCAACAAATTAACAACAACAAAACTACCAGTAAAGACACGCCTTCTAATAAAATATCTCTTTGAAGGTTCACTAACAGTTTTGATATGAAACATCTATAGCCGCACGTAAATTCCATTGCTGCCGTGGCAATGTGTCGCCATGCGCAAGCGACTGTACGATTCTCTTTCCACTGGTTCGACGTTACGACACACTATCAAGTCATCAGTAAGATAATTCTATTTTTCATATTTTATAATCAAAGTATGCATTAAGCCCGCATATATTTGGTCTCAAGGGTCAGTAGATGTAAAATCAACTCTCTTGGTAGATTAAAATTTACACAATTTTCATAGCATATGATATTTCTAAATTAATTAATAATCAATTTTAATTTAATTATCACGAAAAATAATGCAGTGAAACACTTGCTTGAAGGATAAATTTCATAAAGATTGACAAAATTGTATTTCAAAATTAGCTGATAGCGATTAGCGCACTTGAGACTAATTGAATTCATTTTATCGCCGATAGTTTCAATTTTGTGATAACTCCTGAGATATAAAATTGAATTGTATGGTGCAAAGAGCAATTGTTATAATGTACATAAAATGTTCATGCATTGAACCTGATAAGAATTATTATCATATCCGTCTCAATAGTTTTCCGATGACATGCTATATGCGATGAGTTTTTTCAACATGAAAATGAGAATAGTAAGCTATCCTTGAAATAATTTTTCGTTATATCTAGAAGGGATGAGACAGCATTTTTGATAAAAACTCTTCGGCTTCGGTCGAGTACCACATCTGTCCCGACTTCGCACAGATAACATCGTCATATCATAAACTCACCCCGCTATTCACTTTGCACCATTTTCCGGTGGGCTTCTTATGTTTTTGTGATAACATTTCGAACAACCCGTGTAAATTAAACGGAATTGCGAGAACAAATAAATGAAAATATTTCTCACCTCGAATATGTATTTTCCTGAATTTGTAATACCCAATCCTATATCGAAAAATGGCATTGACTGAGTCAAAATAAGGTCTATGAACAAATCGGTGATACTTCTTTTCTTAGGTTCATCCACTGAAAAAAACCAAAATGTATAATTTTTCAAAATATTGGCTGAAGTCTATTTTATTTTTCGATGTTTCCTTATATACTATCAAAAAACAGTGGCGTAGATGTTTATTTAAAAGATCGATGAGAACATTACAAGGTAATTTTTATAAAAATGAAAAAATATATTTTTTTATAAAGCAAATGACTGATGATTAAAAAATTCATTTCGAATGTATCGTGCCTGGAAAATGAAAACATGAACATAAACTGAATGATCAGACAACAACATATTATTAGACTATCGAAATATGTCGTCCCGACATTTATAATTTTTTGGCAAATATTGCCAAAGAAATGTGTTATTTTCTACTTGATATTTCATCAAATCTTCACAGATTTATTTTTCCTTTGTGTATAAATATTTTATTAAATTGTCGAACTGTTATTTGTCTTTTGAAAAACTTGGATCTCCTACTCATAGTAAGGCATACTTACGAAATTTTAACCTTTTCTTCATCCCAAAACTAGTTTCATAATCGACACAGCTACGATAAAAGTTGGAAAAATGCGAGAGATATTCCTCTGATGTAGAAGGTAAATCTCGAATCTTCTCATTCAGGCCATCAAACATCTTCTCGAAGAAAGATACTTCTGAAATTATTTGTCCACCACAAGCATAGTCGTAGAAATCATGGCATGGTGTGGCATCATGATTCATGAGGGCTACCACTCTGGAAGCTGCTTCTTTGCAAGCAGGTAGAGAGCATGGTGGCATCTCGGGAAGGGGTCGAAGGGCTATTAAAACATAATTTGTGAAAAGAAAAATATAATTTGTAGTGATAGTGAGAACTCATTTTGTGTCCGAGTGACTATTGTTATTATCAAGCTTGAAGAATAGGTCAAATACAGATTTATATTTGAGAGAACTGAACTAAGTTAGCTATGATTACACGATCACAGCTATCTTACAGTAGGCCCCGTATCTAGTGTCGAAAGCCTCTATACTCATCGTGCGACTTTAGTAAACTGAGATATTGAAGACATCAAAGTAAGCCACGATGAACCTCAGCCCACTCGACCCGAAGAAAGTAAAGATCAGCAGGGATATTCAATGTTGTTGAAGAATATCCCATTAATAATAATAATGATAAACAGCTTTATTTCAGAGTAGATTACAAACTTTTATTGCAAAAGGTCGGTAACACAGAATAAAATGGCGTCAAAAAAGGAGGTCCAGATTTTTTTGTTATAAGTATTTTTAAATGAATTTTCCAGTGAGATATGCGTTCAAATCATAGAGCTCTATACCTATGAGAAGTTGTTCTCTTTTGAAAACTCCAATTTTCTTGGTCCGTTTTATGCTGTTAGGAAGATGGTTGAAAAGCTTGATTAATATATAGTGGGCGCTTTTTTCAGTTAGTCTATGAAGCGGATACATATATTCATTTGTTTTAGTGGGATACTTATGACCAGGTATATTCTCAGTGGAGAGGTGTAAATTTTTATAAATGAACATTAGGCAGTCATAGATATAAATCGCGTAGATTGTCATTACATTGGTGAATTTGAATAATATTCTGCAAGTTTGGTTTAATTCAAGTCGTTGATTCCTATTATTATTCTTTTTTGAATTATGCATTTTTTTATGGCGAGCATCCGATTCGAAGTTACTCGTGTATATTGTTTTTGTAGCCTCGTTGTGCATATATTTTGATGTAACTCTAATTCCATACCATATTCCACTTAGTTTGTTGGCGAGGTTATCAATATGAGAAGACCAAATCATGTTCTCGTCGATGTAGATTCCTAAAAATTGTGTTGTGGGTCAATTCAAAAGAAGAGTTTTGAAGGTCCATCCTAACTGGATGCTCAATGTTCTCTTGGTTTGTTATAAACGAAATAATATGTTTCTTTGATTCATTCAGTACTGAAACAGTCCTTAGTTTTCTTGAATAGTTCTGTACTATTTACTGGGAAGGTTTCACCACATGATAACAGACTTGTGTTATCTGCGAAGATAGTTTTGAACTGACGTTGGTTTAAGTTTTGATTACATAAGTCGTGCAAATGAATGACGAACAAAAGAGAGCCGGCAATGCTACCCTGCGGGAGACTCTTCCACTTCGTTTTATTTCTACGGAATAAAGGGGTAGGTAGAATTCAACCCACTTTAGCGCTGAACCTCTTATTCCATATATTTCTAATTTTATTAACATTAGTTGATGATTCAAGCAGTCATATGCTTTGGATAGATCCAAAAACATCCCGAGAGCTATCAATTTTTCTTCCATCATGTTCGTTATATTTTGTGTGATTTGATATATGGCCGTCTGTGTTGATCTATCCTGTAAATATCCATGTTGAAGCCTACTGAATAAGTTACATTGATTCATAAACTCTATAATTCTCAATGAGATTGCTAGTTTAAATCATTTTGAGAAACTGGGAGGGACGCATATTGGTCGGTAATTTTCTAGACTCTCTTTTTTAAAGATTGGCTTCACAATGGAGGTTTTTAATCTTGTTGAGAATATGCCGTACTTCAGTGAATTATTGATGATATATGCTATGATTTCGTTAATGGCAATTAAGCTTTTTTTCATAATACTAGTAGGAATTTCATCTTCTCCACTGGAATGTTTATTTTTAAGTTTTCTAGATAGTTCTATGATTTCGTCTGGGGTTATGGATCTCACCAACATCGAATGTATATGTACAGGGATATCACATTGAAATGGAATATTTGAGGAATTTGCTAGTAATTGAGGTACCATGTCTACCAAATATTTGTTGTAATCATTAACTATTTCGTTTGGGTCACCTTTTATGCAACACTCTTCATTTCGCACTCTTCCCGTTATTTCGGAGTAAATGCTCCACTTGCATTTTGATTTATTATCAGAATGGGTAATTCTCTTTGGGTATGTGCCCTTCTTTGCGTTAATTAATAAATTGTTGTATTCGTTTCTCACCTTATTGTACATATATGTTTGAATTGGACATTATCTGTTTAAAAAATCTGTTTTTCCGTTAATCAGCTGTCGCCCCCATACGAACGACAACTCTCAGAAGTTGAGAAACTTGTGCGAGCTAAGGACTAACGAGGTCTTATGTTGTGTCAACACCAAAAGGGTGTCTAATTTTTTTTCTGCTATTTCTTTTCATTTGCCTTAGACGGAAACTTTAATTGAATATTAAACTAAAGACCTTTAGTAAGAGATCCCATTGTTAATTTATGCTTCCTTTACGAATTCTATATATACATGTCCAATCATGGACTTTCACGCGAAAAATGAATTTCTTATTATTAGTTCCGTTAAAGAATCTGCGTGATTGATATTGGCTTTTATTCTGATGGTCTATATAGAAAATGATTATTTGGGCAGTATGGTCCGATACATGATTTTCGACTACTTTAGTTTCATATTTTTCATGGTAATTAGTGAAAATATTATCGACACAGCTCTTTGTTTTGGGTGTGATTCTGGTATATTCATTGGTTTTCGTAATGAAGCCACAGAAGTGAATTAATTTAGTCCTGGCTTTCATATAGGTTTTTTGTTGAACGAATTCTACTTCATTGATTTAGTTCGGGTCATCATGTTCAGAGTCGAAAACCAAGTCTAACTGTCCACTAGGGTAGCTGCCTTGAGAATAAATACTCCAATTCCTGCTCATTTATGACCATAGACCATCTAAAGGAGCCTCCATCCAGTACCCATTCTGTTATCTATAGATACTCCTTTATCAAAAGATCTCGGACAATTTGAGATGAAAATTATTCTGAAGGTGCATCATATTTCATGTTTTTGTGTCTCATTGAGCTTCCTACAGTCCGCTCCACTAATCCAGAAGGAAAGAGTAACATAAAAACGGCAAGCATATTTGCAACAGCAATTTTGTTCTTCCACGGCAAAAGACCAGATCTATCGGAGTTTGTGCTAATACTTGCGTCAAGAGAGTTTTTTATCAGTACCTCTCAAAAGTGGTGATATTTCATTAAGAGGTAAGCATACGGTGTGAGATTCTTCTGTCTACGAGCTAAGAGCACATCTTTTCCATAACCTCCGCATCGTGCTTTTCAGGAATGGAATGTTGCGCACTTCTCTATTCCGAATTACATACCCATAGCACGAATGTGCTTCTCCCAACTTTGTAATCATCCATGAAAAATAGATGGGTGACTTGATGCTTCCGGTCTCCAGAGGTATCGAAGCTGTCTTCATGAGTATTACTGCATTAAACGGGAACTGGAAGAGTGAAATGCAGAAAAGAAGTGCATAACACCTCATTACTTTTTTGGGTCTCGCAAGACGTCTGAGCAAAAGTGCGATGAGTTCACGATGTTTTATCCAACATTGAGAGGTTACGCTTATACTACGCTCATTCATTCCACTGCAAGGCAACTAGATGGCATCTTCGTAAGGAAAAATGTCACCTCCCTTATCCACTCAGGCTTGTTCTTAAAGGACATCAATACAATGTATTTGCGGTTTAGTCCAGCATCACTGATGAGACCTATGGCGAGTCGAAACAGTGTTGTGTTTTGTTGGACCACGAATGCGTTGTGCTTGGCCTCTGTTTTTCAACTAGTTGAAACAGTTGAGACAGAGGACAAATCCCATTGGCGACCGATATGAAAGCTTTGCTTTGAGACTGACTGCCTTGGTAGCGTCGTTCTTCTTCGATTTCGATTCGATTTCGAGAAGTGAATCCTCTGTTGATTCGATAGATGGTGTTTTCATAAGTGGAGATAAGTGGTTCAAACTAGCACAACTGATGAGACCTATGACAGTTCGAAACAGTGCTAACAGGATAACCAATGCGTTTTGTTTGGGCTCTATTTTTCAATATGAATTCATTATGGATTGAAAAAAAAATATTCAATAGTAATTCACAATTTTTTATCGACCTTGTTTGGGTATTTTCACCGTCTACAATATGAAAAATATGAAAATTATAATGGAGAACTTCATACAAGTGTAGAAAGGGTAAACTTTTTAGTTTAGCCTGATAAGTTACAAAGAAAAATGTTCTATTTATCAGTAAAATATGAAAAATATGAAAATTATAATGGAGAACTTCATACAAGTGTAGAAAGGGTAAACTTTTTAGTTTAGCCCGATAAGTTACAAAGAAAAATGTTCTATTTATCAGTACCTAACTTCTCGTATTTGACGATTTTGCCTATCAAAAAAAATTGTTGAGAAATAATCAAATACTTATCTTAACGTTCCAGAGGCCAAAATCTGCCTTCAATGGCCTCGAAGTTTCCCCAATATAACTTTTCCAGATTGTGGAAGGTGAAAATACCCAAATAAGGTAGATAAAAAACTGATTTTTCTCCACAAAAATGACTTAAGCTCAATAATTACCAATGTTATTGATTTTGGAAAATAAAAATATGTTCAACTTACTGGTTCTGTAGGGTAAAAATGTTTCTGTTTCAGAATAATCTGTTATTACTTCCGAAGTACCAAATAAGTTTCTCTTGATAGTAATTGTTGTTACTGAAAAAATAATCAACTTAGTCGAAATACAATTGCCTATAGTGTACCATAAAAATACATATAAAGAGTGAATTCCAAAACTTTTGAAAAATAAAACTATCTCCATATTAACAACTTCAGATAGTGTGACGCATTAGAAATATCATTAACCGCCATAAATTGAAAAATGAAGTCAACTAGTAGAAAGGATTACGAGTTATGAAAATTTGATTTAACTTACATAAACTATCAGTTGAAGAGGTATTCATCATAGAGTTATCACTTGTTCCTGTGTGAGTCGTATCATCTAAGTTTTGGCCGACAGAGATTGCTGTGGTCATATCTAAAATTGACATAAGACTTGTGAGACATATGGATTACAATATCTTATGGTTGAAACTAGTTAATAATTTCAAATGTATTAGTTACAAGAAATTATTTCGACTTACAAGTACTGTCAGATATTGTATGATTATCTGTTGTTCTTGTATTCATCGTACTATCTAAGTCTTCATTGAGAATGTTTGGTGTGATTGCATCTGAAAAAAAAATGAACTAACCCAGATACCGATACATGAAATATTTCCCTATGAATATGAAAACACTAATTTTGAGTTTCATTATTTTTACAAGGGTTCGGTTTTTGGAATTGGAGAACTCTTGGGGAAACAACATAAAAACGGTTTTCAAACACACCAGGAAGATATAACAGAGCCTCAGGTTGGCTAAAGACAAAAGAGGCCCGCACCACCAGCAGCAGGGGTATGTCGCATACCATGCATAAGTTGGCTGTGGCGGAACACACCCTCAGTGAAAGAAACTCATTGCCTCCAGCCAGGGATATGATAGCCTAGTGGTACAGGAGGCAATAGAGATTCACAAACACACGGATAATTTCAACAGAAATGAAGAAGCTGTGAATCTCAACCGAATATGGACTCCCATTCTAAGGAGTTCAAGAATGACAAATATCATGGAGTTTCATGGTGACTGTGGTAGTACACGGACGTGCTGATAACGCCCGCTCACAAAGAAGGTACGCGGATGCCATGTGCTACCGTGGGGCTCCGTTATGTGTTGTGTGTTAGTCCATTGTGATAATAATTAAAATGTGTGAGAATCTTTTTGGAAGTGAAGAATAAGAGGTCCCCTTTATTCACGCCGGTATCCAGGCTGGGGTGGTTCAGATAACCACGTAAAGGGGGCTGTATATGTGAAAAAAACAAAAGGTCTCTCAAGCAGGAGGCGACTTAATAAAAAATTAAATTGTTTTTATAAAAAAAAGTTCGACAAAAAATGGGTGGCAGCATTGCTTCGTGCAAGACCGCTGCGCCCCCCGACGAAGCCCCTGTCAACCTTGATAGGAGGAGCCTGGCCAAATGCGCCCGAGTGGGAAGCAAGGCGATCCAAAATAGAGATAGAGAATAAATATCATGACCTATTTACCTAATCCAGGTATAGTAATCAGCACATCGAACTACCTGAATCAAAATAAATATGCTATACGCCGGCAGAATACACGGTCATCGAAGATGAACTCGAAATGTATGAACCTCTGATGAAGCTAGCCACTTGCGTCAGCGAAACGTCAGGAAAAAATTCCAAAAATTAACGTGACCTGGAAATAGTGACCTGGGATTCTTAGTACCAAATTATAACTATTACTGGAGATTTTTCCCAACACCAAACCGTTACTTAAATACTTCGACACGTGTTTCGATCACCAAGTATTCATCTTCAAGAGGAAGATCAAAACGCTAAAATAACGGTTTGATGTTGGCAAAAAACTCACGTAATTTTCATTACTACACCAAAGGTTCCAAACACTGCATCACGAGTACATAATGACGGCCTGGTCAACGGAACTGAATCTGTATTGAAAGTACTCAACACAGTTTTGATCTTCCTCTTGAAGTAGATCACTTGGTGAGCGAAACACGTATCGGGGTGTTAAAATAATGATTCGGTGTTGGGAAAAAATTCCAGTCATATTTATTACCTCACCAAAGGTTGCAAACAGTGCATCACAAGTATCAAGAAATAGTTCATTCTACTGAAGCTGATGGGTCACCAACCGAGGTCTGTTACAATGACACGCTTCGACATCAACTATTCATGATCTATTTAAAAATTCCCCAGTTCGTCTTCGACGAATATTTTACTGATGCATAAATTATGTCCCCATATTGGAAAGTACTACTTTCTTGAATAATCTTCCATTATCTCCCTCTCTTTCCCCCTACATGATGGAAGAAGTTAGAGTAAAGTTAGAGTTGTATTGTGAAAGTCTTATTGACGATGAAAAAGAATCGATAATGCGTATATGAATTATTAACTACGCTACTGTATACATATGATTATTATACTGACAGCATGTATTTTTTTGATAGAATTCAGTAACCTCAGAGTTAGTTAATCTGAATTAAAAGACAAGTGTGATATCATGCTCACGTGTATGTAATGATGGCAAAGATGGAAAGTCATGAACAAAAATTCCTCACATAAAGTGAGTGGGCATACTTGGAGTCTGGTTGTAAATCAAATTATCTAATAGAACAATTCATTCAGACCAGTCTCAACATACACTGTAGGTTAATGAACTGATCTATCAGAGAACAACTACTCCTCTGGCTAATACCACGAAGAGCGTTGGATTATATCCGACAGATGTCAGTGCAGGATTCTTCACTATCGGATATAGTCCAACGGCTTTCTGGTATCAGCCAGTGGAGTAATTGTCAATGCAGGATTCTTCACTGTCGGATATAATCCAACACCCTTCGTGGTATCAGCCAGGGGAGTAGTTGTCAGTGCAGGATTCTTCACTGTCGGATATATTCCAACGCCCGTCGTCGTATTAGCCAGGGAAGTAGTTTGTTTTCTGATGGGGGTCAGTCGAATAACTTACAGTGTAGGTAAGTTGAAACTGGCCTGAAGGAATTGTTTTTTCAGATAATTTGAAGAAAATTTCCGCCTATTCCATATACACGAAGATTATTTATCAAAAAATGTTAAATATCTTGGAGATGTCAAGCGCAACAACCTCTCAACAGTTATCAAAACATGCGAAAAACCAAGAGTAAAATGAAAATTATCAACTTACAAGTACTATTAGAGGTGTCGATAGAGGTAGTACCTACAGTGGCGTTTTCAGTTGTGTCTGTGTTGGCTTCATGTGTTGGTGTAGTTAAAACTAAAAAAGAAACAAATACTATATGACAAATTGATTTGAATATAATACTCAAAATGAGGAATTTATAAGCACGGTTGGTATTAGGTTAAATGTGTTTTATACTTACTGGTACTAGGATTTTCTGTGTTCGTGGTAGTTTTCAAACTTCGCATATTAGTCGTTCCCAAGATTGCCACTGTAATGATATCTTGATTATATTCAGAACTATATGTGACTTTTAGTTTTATAAACAAGTTTACTTGTTGGTAATCTACCACCTGATGATTTATTTATTTTTGATACAGGAATTATCAAGAAATACTAATTGTTAAGTCTGTATTAGCAGAAAATTTGGACAATTCTCTTCCACTGACTTTCTAGGTACTCAGATACATATTCCAACAAGTTTTTTCAGATTGTGGATGATTATACACCTTATACACCATAACATATCATTTATCTCTTCTTTTCTTCTGAAAGTTGTCGTAGTTGCTGTAAAGGTTGGCTGAACCAAGTGCTGTAGTAATGGGCTCATATTTCTTAAATAGAATTCATTTCATTAGTTCGGACTTCCGTTGTCTAATATGATATAAATTGATTTGAAATCCCTGAAAGAATCTGTAACAAATTAAAAAAGAGATGAGATGAAAAATAACAATTATATTAAGCAAAAAAAAACTGATATTACAATGAAATAAAATACAATCAACAACCAAAAAATGAAGAATTGAACTATTAACACGAGATGAAAATTAAAAAAAGTATTGACAGGGAATGAAAATTAAAAATTATCCACTAGGAAGAACACTGGTTTAGGAGAAAATTCAGAGAAGCTTTGTATATGTTGTCGTAGCGTAGAGATAAGCAACATTTGGAAACCTCTAATCAAGCGGAACACGACCAACTCCCGCCAAACTGTCAGTTTCCTCTAAAACCGATGGAGTGGAGAGAGGGAAGAGGGGATAGGTGAAAGCACTCGAATGACCTATAAATAGTCAGATCTCGAAGAAATAAGTCCAGAAAACCGTGACGGGCGGCACTGATGTCTGAGAACTTTCATGCCGCCACCACCTCTCAGTCATGACCAATTTGTCCCCCTGACAAAAATAAGAGTGGGTTGTTCCTATTGGAGGATAATTACCATCGGTTTTTAGGCTTAGCAGTTTTGAAAATTGTTGTTGAATTGCTTATATTCTATCAATATGATATTGATAAAAGGGGCTCCACACAACTGACGCGTATTCTAACTTTGCACTTATGAAAGCATAGAATAGAGTTTTTGAAGTCGAAGTTTTTCTGAAATCACTACTGTTACGTGCAATTAATCCGTACAAACGACAGGAGGAGGTTACAACATTATCGATATGCCTATTAAATGATAGTGGAGTGTCAAATGTGACGCCAAGATCAGTAAATGTTTCTAGTCTCACCAGGAAAACGTTTCTATTGAATAATCAAAGATCAAGATGTTCGTTTTCAAACTGTATGACATGACCTTACATTTAAATGGGTTTAACGACAAGTTATTTCGATAACACCATTCTACAACCCGTCCTACGTTTGCTGAGAGGTTCACACAATCATCTATGTTCTCAACGAGGCAGTATAGTTTTAGATCATCGGCATACAAAAAGAAATACACATCTATAACATCTGCAATATTATTAATGAAGATATTGAAGAGCAACGGTCCCAGATTTGACTCTTGTGGAACACTGGAAGAATCACTATATTCGGTAGATTTGAAACCATTGAGCTGAACATATTGTTTGCGATCCCGAAGACGATTGTGGATACTAACAATCGAAACGTCGTGAAGTAACTTGGTTTGGTACCTTTTAATTTTTAATTTTCATTTCTTATTTTTTAATTTTTATTTCGTGTAATTAGTTCAATGTTTTGATTTTTTGTTTTTTTAATTTTTTGGTTGTTGATTGTATTTTATTTCATTGTAATTTCAGTTTTTTTTGCTCAATATAATTATTACTTTTCAGCTAATCTTTTTTAATTTTTTATAGATTCTTTCAGGTATTTCAAATCAATTTATATCATTTTAGACAATGGAAGTCTGAACTAATGAAATGCACCACGAAACATTGTCAACCACCTTCAGAAAATGGTTCAATTTAGTTTGTTTATACATATCATTTGAACCTACTCCTAGTTATGAGATGAAAACATACTTATTGACACATATTCGATCATAATTGATTCAGGAATTATATTCGATGGTGAATCAACTTTTATGTAACATTAGAACATGAAGCTGACTTCATGGAAACATAATGTTCGTCCCCAAAATTCCTCTTCATATTATTAACAAGTGTCTCTGTGGTTTCCATACTGACATTCATGGGGGGTTCACATCTATTGTCATTCACATTGGAAAAATAAAGGTACGATGGCTGGCTATAGTTTCATTCTTCGTTACATACAGGCTTACTTGAGGCAAATAAAATAGTGATTTTCACAAAGTAATCATCTTGAAGAAAATCTAACCCACAAGATTTTTGGTGGAAGGACATTACTGCACATTACTGCTAGAGCCAACACTTCATAGCTAAATGTATGTACTTGATGCAATAATTCAAATGACTTACAGGTAGCAACAGTATCCTCAGTTGAAGTGGTGTCCATCGTTGTGTCTTCATTTGTGAACACGATAGGGATCATTGGTGTATTTGTAGCTGAATGAAGAACAAGATTATAGTTGAATCACATAGTTTCGTGAGACAGATGTGTTATTTGTTGAAGAAAACTCGAATTTAAGCATCATCTTGAGTCAAATACGTATAATACTCACTGGTGGTGATGGTACTGGCAACTGTGTGGTATTCTGTTGTGTCGCTCTGCTGGGCAGTTTTCAAATCTGTTATACCGAAAATTTCAGCTGCAATGATATAAAAGTTACTTTCATTGAATTTATTTCCAATAGTTTTGGCGTTGTTTGTGAAAAAATCACTATCCTTAAGTTATTCCTGATTAATTTAGTTGTGCACTCATGCACTTATTTTTCAAAGGAAAGTGATAATTTGTTACATAAACTTTTTAGAACACTTACGAGACCTACTGCTATGGGGCAATATGAGAAACAGTTGTCCAAGAATGGTCAACATCCTCTCTTTTTAATATTGAAACCATGGAAGCAGATGACTTAGTCATCCTAGTCCAGAGAAAAAACAATAATATGGTAGAGGAGCGCATACAACAGGCCCAGAATATTATAACCAGATGAATCAAGAAAGAAGGGCTCAATATAAGCCCAACAAAATCGGCCATAGTAACATTCACCAAAAAGACCAAGACAGAGGACGTATGACCTCTGTTTAGCTTCTAGGTAAAGAAATGCAGATGTCGAAGGAGGTTAAATAACTGGAAGTTATACTAGATCCTAGGTTGATCTGGAACCAACATCTAGAAATAGTGGAGGAGGTGGCATTGATGCTGGCCAGACACAACTGAGAAAAGACATGGGGGCTGAAACTAGACATGATGGCTTTATACCAAGGTGCTTATATCCATGATAGCGTATGCATCTAGGTGTAGTGACGAAAGATGAAACAAACGAGCGCTATTTATGAACCAAGTGAGGTGCAAAGACTTGCATGTTTGGAAATAATGGAAGGAAAACACTCCAACAGCTACAATGGAGACATTTTTCAATCTCTCTTAACATTACGTAATAATTGGGGAAGCAAAAGTGGGCCGATTCAGATTAGAACAGACACCGACCTCTACGTAGGATCGGACAAAACAGAAATTTCTTGATATGTGGAGAAATGAACATCTAACATAATCTCGGACCACATAACACTCGAAATCTAGAAAGAAATTCCCCATTGAGTGGTGGACGTCGAAACCTCTGCAACAAACTGAAGACCCCAGTTCATCTTCGACGAGTATTCTAAGCGGTTTTTATGTGAGTCTTTTGTTGAACAGGTTCGAGCTTAGTGATCTTCTCGTTCAATGTCGAAAACCATGAGGAGTTAGCATCATCAGGAGAAACAGCATTCTTGTTCTGGTGGAAAAAAGTGTATTCAACAGATTGGACTCGAAAGTTGGAAACTAGTGTAACCCTCCAAACATTGATGTCACTCATAAAAACAGACAGTACTTAGTTGAAGTCTGAAATAGTTTTATGTCAAATCAATTTGTGAAAAGCTTGGTAGAGTGGTTGTTGAACTCTCAGCTTGTGAACAAAAGATCGTTTGTTCAGATCTCATCGACTATTTTTGTTAACCACTCAATTTTAAACTATTTGAAATTGAATAAGATAACAAAATCAGAAAAAGTTAAGTATTCTACTAGAGAGAAATAATCCTTAATCGCTCCAATGATTCACGATAAACTTCATTCTGTCGAGTTACTCTCGCTGATAAAAATGCAAGTTAAAAGAAAACAATTCTGCTCACAATCGAGATTACTCAAGAGGTATGTAACACATGGAAGAATTTCACTTACTGTCTGTTGAAATGTTATCCATGGTTGAGTTTTCAGTTGTATCTGACTC